GATTCGTAGGACGGTGGATGTGACCGAGGCGAGGTGTTATGCGGCCCTAGTACTGATAGGTTTGGTGCCGATGCACGCAACGCCAAATGCGCTCTGCCTGCCCTCTCAGCCAAGGATGACATTCATTCCGCGCGGTCGCTAGTCACCGGCCAGGGCCGAGTGGGTTGAGTTTTTCGCAAAGAATCAGCGGTTGTGCCTTGTTCGGTCTGGCCTTTCGCAACGATCCAGTTTCGAGGGTGCGCCCTATGTATCATGGCATGTCATGGTGACAATATGAGCCAGTGCCCTTGCTTCCAATCTCAACAGGAAGCGCCAGGTAAGCCCTGGTTTGCTCTTTTGCTAATTTTTGTTTTGTTTGTCTCTGGTAAGCCGGGGAGACAGAGTGCGTGCTAAACGCCATTGCGACTACAACGCTACGTGTAGCATCTATAATGTGACAGCTCTGCGGGCGGGGAGTTATCTGCACGATCCACCCTCGAGGCCATGACGGCGTGGTTGTTCTCTTTATCTTTCGGGCCTAGTATACATGGTGATTGACATGAGAATTGATAGGTAAAAAAAAAAAAAACTTGCGGCTTCGTGTGGCCAGGGGCGCTGGTACAGGCCTGGTTACACAGCAGCCCGCGAGACGTTTTGTTTGATGATCGGGCACGACGTTGGAAAAGCTTAGCTTGGCCGATGGCGTGTCCTTATCAGCTGGCCGTGGGCAATGATTTGCTACTAGCTTAGCTGGGGAGGACATGTGCTGGGGCCTGGGAGCAGGGAGCCGTCGTGGCAGTGCCTCCTGGTCGGAAACTGTAATGGCAAGGGGTTGCCTGCACGGCACCTCCAGAGCTGCTCGTCTTGATGCCTCCATTCTGATCAGCCCTCTCTGAGGCATGCCGCAGAGCTAGCCACGCACATTCCGGATGCAGGCACGGGGAAGGGAAAGAAATCCATACCCCCGCCTCCACCGCCTCTCCAGTCGCCCATCAGAGAGATGCTCTCGAGTCGACGGATCGATCGGTATTTGCGTCTTGGCTTGGGCAGCAGGCGAGGCATTGCTCCAGTGCCCCTGCATCAAACGAATGCGTGCGGCACGGCAGATGCCACCTTCTGGTGAGCAAGTATCCATCTACTGTCTGCATCCCCTTTCACATCCCTCAACACAACACTCCGTTCTCGCCCGAGTGCTCGTTCGAATCTGGAATGCTCAGGTGTGTGCCGCTTAGTACTCTCCCGCCTGCTTGGAACCCCAACTAACGGCGTGCTAGGATGGTGGATGGGATTGGATGCTTTCACCATTCTGAAATCCCATTTGAAGCCCCTCCCCAAGTACCCATCGCTGGAAGATACCGCTAGTGACTCGCGGTCCTGCTGATCGAAACAGGTACTTCTCCACGGCGAACTACTTGCTCTCCTCCCGGAGCCTACGGGTGCCGCACAGGCAGAGCTGAGTGGCCAGATCACAGTGGGGTGGACTTGAATTAGCTGCAAGTGCCACTTTAGATGGAAATGTCTAGACGCGTCATTGGCCAATATAATGTCGAGTCGAGCCATCTGACTGGGTCTAGCTCACTTGCTGCGGCTTTGATCCCACTGGTCAACGGGGTCATGGGGATCTTGCAGGGCGGCCCCAGCAGCCTACCCCACGGCCATGGCAATCTTTGTAGGCCCTCGGGGAATATCTCGTAATCTGCAACATGTATGACATGAGCGTCGCCAGCGAGCGAAACTGATTGCTGGATGGTGTGAGTAAAAGTTTCCTTGGAATCTGCATAGGGTTTGTGGAAATGGAAGCGCTCTCAGAAGAGTTTCATGTTCTCTTTCTTTTTCTTTGAATCCTTCGCCTCCCCAACATACTGTATCCATCTTGTTGCCTGGACGATATGCATGCGGGCAACTGAGCGAGGGAAAGTGAAAGTTTCGGGCGTGCATGAGGTGGCGGTAGAACAAGATTACTCTCTTGACCGAATCTTATTCAAGAGGATTCTCAGGAAATGAACAATAGCCTCTCGTTTAGGTCGTGGCGATTGACAACCACCATCGTGATAGCTGGTCGCAGAGAGAAAAAGTGTTGTGCTGCAGTTGGCTTCTTCGTGTTGTCAAATCGAAACCTTGATGACCATTCTGGTGAGTGATACGAGCGTGTGTTCCTCTTTTTTAAAGTTTCTTTTAGAATTGTAGCACATCGACACCGGCTGGCGATGCACCACGAGGCCACGAGCCATCACCACCCTTGTCGCAAGGAAGCATCATCAAAGAATAAATGTCTGTCCGTGCACAAGTACCTTTCCCCACCCACACTCTTAATCTAGGCCAATGGCGTAATAGCATTGGCGCGCAAGGGAGGTACCGGGTAGGGAAAGCTGCATGGGTCCTATCGAGATGTACGTACCTTTCCAATCTCGCCCGGCCGCGCGCAAGTATCCAGCAAGTACCGATCACACCCGCCCCTCAAACCAGATCACAGGATCAGTTTGCACTTGTTTGCATTCCTCCATCATCAGACGGCCCAGGCTAGCCCCAAGCGTTCTGATTTTGAGTTCAGCCGAGTGTGCCAACTCTGTCGAGATGAGTAGGCTCGCTGATCCGATTGGTGCAGCCGCCAAGATAGAGCAGATTTCAAATCAGAACTCAGGTTGCACCATCTATTCCTGCTACCATATCTCGTCTCATCAGCCAACCAGTCTCACCGTCGCTGCAGTGCCAGCAAGTCGCAGCCCTTGCTGAGAAATTGAGGATGTGAGGGAGGGAGAGAGAGGGCAAGGTTGAGCAGCCCAGGCATGCAGACCGAAAGATTTGCACCGACTCGTGGTTTCTCAATTTTGATCTTGCTTTCATTAAGAGATCCTGAGGCCTCCTAGATCTCCTAGCCACGGGAGCCGAAACCAAATCGCTTCGTATGTGACCATGAAAAGCCACCGCCTGTACTTTCTTTTTCCTCTCATTCGACTTTCCGGGCGCTAAAGTCTCGAGTCGTGGTGATGGATGATGGGTGGCGAGCGGGCTAGCTGGATAGCTGGACACGCCGCCGACATTGGCCGGCTGCGATACCTGCTGTTGGGTTCTGCATAGGAAGTTCCCTCTCAGTACGAAAAGTGAGGTCGTTATCGAATCGGCGCCAGTTTAGAACCAACCTACCTTGCGCCTGGTGGGAGATGTCTCGGCTGGGTACACGAAAGATACTTCCTTGTCGCAGCCCGCTCCAAGGGGACAGGGAAGCTTGTTCAGCGTTGGCTCCCACCTGGGACCCCGTTAGCTCCAGGGATGACACAACGGCACCCATGTGCCTACCTGAGAGTTGGTCCTTGGCTGGCCAAAGAGCACCGCACGCACTTTAGCTGCGCGCACCCAAGTACGAACCCGGTGCAAAGGCGCAACCTTGGCCGCAGGACCCTACGTTAGCCTTCGGGCTCGTGGTCCCATCCCGTATACCAACAAGAATTAAGTAGGTAGTGGCTTTGCACTGCCATTCATTCTGTTGGCAAGAAAGGCCTCCGCGCGGCGTGCGCATGCCCCCAACGTGCAGGTACGTAGGTTATCTGCGTCGAGGTCCGCTAGATCTAAAGAAGGATAAATGCTCGAGCCTGGCTTCAGAAAACGAGGTTAGCTGGCTGGATGACTCCCACTGCCGGACCTGTCACTCGACTAGTACCTGATGCGATTGCTGATGCCAGTTCCACTCCTCATTCTTTCCCCCGTACATTAACATCATCTCAATCCACCCACCCATCCCATCCCATCCATCCCTCCATCCACCACATCGGCTGGCTCCTGCTCTCAGCGCTGCTCTGGTCTTCTCCAAATCTACCTTAACTTTTCCCAACTTCCACCGCTGCTCATCATCATCTCCTTCGCTCATCTCCTCTTCACCCCCTCCCTCCCTTCCCCATCCTCTCGCTCCTCCTCGATTTCATTCATAGCTGCTTCCTGTTTCACTTTGATTCCCCCTCGCCGGCCTGTGTCTGCTCTCGCTCCACCAGCTGCTGCTGCTACCATTCGCCTCCACGACAAGGGAGGCGCTAGCCATCAGTTCCACAAGTACCATTAGTCCTACGACGACACGCGCCGTCTAAGCGGCTCAGCCAGCTAGAGGTAGACACAGACAGGCCTGGTGTCCCTGCCCTGCCCTGTGCTGTGTTCCCGTCTTCATAGCACTCACTCGCCTTGGCTGAGGAAGCCAGCCAAATCAGACCCCCCCCCCCTTGTCGATGCGCTACACACCATCTCTGTCTCAGTGAACTGGGGGCCTGCTGCACACCAAACCATTTCCCTCCGTCCTTCTTCCACACACCACCCCTTCGACAAATATCAGCAAGACATTTCAACCATCGTCTCATCCCCCCTACGGAATTCTTCGTCGCTCTTCGATCCTTGAGCAGCCACCACGCATTTCGGCCATTATCTACCCACCCCACTCGCGCGACATCACATCACTACACCACTGCGACTGTGAGTGCCTCCCTCTGCTACTATCGTCGCGGTCCCTCCCACATGCTGACATTGCGGTTTGCTCTTACCCAGATCGCGTCGCATCGCGTCTTCCGCCTTTCTTTCAATCTGTAGCCGAATATTTATGTCGTTGTCTTTGCGCATCTTATATTCTCTTCAAACCCGACTCCATTAATGCGACCATCAGCTCTCATTGCGCGACACTCTCGACCACTTTCCAATCCGATCCTTCCATTGCCGATCACATCGCATTTTTGACCCGGGATAGGTCGCGAAATCTAAGACGAGGGACCCTATCTTTGAGGAATATATGAAATCGGTTCACATTGGTGAACGCTCAACGACACGCGCGCCGAAGTCTCTGAAACGAACACCCGGCTCCGCACTCCGACGATACGATCGTCGGCCCTTTCCAGGCGCTCCATTCCAGTAGCGCCACATCTATTCAAGCAGCATTGTTCACTTTCTCGCAGGGAGAGATGGCTGCGCCTGGGTTTCTCCCTTCTTCACACGCCTCACACGCCTTTCGATCTGCAGTTTCGACTCAATCGCCGTTTTCTTCAGCCATGGCATCCGCGCAATCCGCTGGCCTTGCGCCCATAATGCCCATAGGAACACCGTACTCGACCTCTCCTAAACCCCTGATTAATGTCCTAATCCGTCGCCTGCCTCTGAACACATCGGACGAGTCGCTGAGGCTAATGGTTGTGTGGTCCAAAGAGTTGGCTGATGTAGAGCTTCTCCCCCTTGATCAATCAGGAGACGATGGCTTCCGCTCCGCGATTCTCAAATTCAAGACGATGAGTGGCGCACAAGAGGCGAGAAACATGCTTGATGGCCGTTCTAACATCTCCAACGACGCCCAGATGATTGTTGAAGTTCTCGATACTAGCCCGACAACAAGTGGAAAGCGTTCGACCGGATCTGGAACTACAAGTCCCAATGGGACCGCATCCACGAACTCATCGAACATGGGCGCCCGACAGCCACCTCGTTTCTCCACGTCTGCTTTCCACTCTCTGGAAAAACTATCGACACAGTCAAATGGCCTGTCCGGCACCGAGTTGCCGACCCCCGACGCCAACAGCCATTACCATAATCTGTTCTCTCCACAGTCCCCAATTGGCATGCAGCTTTCCGACCGAACCAGGGTTTCCGGCAAGAGTCTTATTGAAAACAACTTTGCGGATGACGACGAGACGAGCGATCTTTTGAAGGACCCGGTTGCATACGCCGAGATCAACATCAACAGTACAAGCGGACGAAGAGCAACAGCACCTCAGATCCCCATTGGAAGGCTGCAAACTCTTTCCCTGAATGGAAATGGTGGACCTGTCTCTGCATCTGTTCCTTCTCCCTATGGAAACGGCATTCCGTCACACGCAAATCCCATCAACTCGCTCAATGGGACTGCTCAAGGCCTAGGCTATACAATGGGAGGCAACCCTCATTACCAGCGACATAACTTCCCCCCTGTGAACCCGGCAGATCAAAACCCTCCCTGCAATACTCTTTATGTTGGGAATTTGCCGATTGACACCTCGGAGGAAGAACTCAAGGCGTTGTTTTCCAAACAGAGAGGATATAAGCGACTCTGCTTCCGTACAAAGCAGAATGGCCCCATGTGTTTTGTTGAGTTTGAAGATGTCTCATTTGCGACAAAGGCACTTCATGAACTCTATGGTCAACTCCTTCATAACAGTGTGAAGGGAGGCATAAGACTCAGTTTCTCGAAGAATCCTCTCGGTGTCAGATCCGGCCACAATAGCGCCCCAGCCAACTCGGCAACATCAGGAGCAATGACTAGTCCCATGGCCAATGGTGTCAATGGATTCACTACTGCAAACGGACCTCCTCCAGGCTTGTCTGCTCCTCCAGGTCTAGGAGCCTCTCGCCCGAGCTTCAACTCGCCTAGTCCTAACCCGAGCCACAATTTCAACCACGGGGGCTTTGCCGGCAACTCGAATTATCCGTGGAATGGGGCACCGTATCCCGGGCAAGCGATGACCACCGGGACAAATGGAATTCTGAGATCCAACAATCCGAATCAGCTTCCGCCACATATGATGGGCCGATAGCGTCGTGAATGAGTTGGCTGGATTGCCAGATACTATTTCCTATTGCTTTCTTCTTTCCTTCTTTCCTTCATCCTTTTCTCTTTTTCTTTGATTTTTTTTATTGGAGCTGGGGACTCGAAATCATGTACGACTTGTTTTGCTTGATATTTTATTCTCCTTGGGGATATCCTGGACGACAATGGGCGAATCGATTACCGTTTCTCCTTCATCGGTCCATTTTCGGCACGATCACTAAGGAGATCCAGCGTTCGGACAATGATGTCCATCGAAATACAAATACACGAGGAGTCAACTTATCATCACCGGTTTGGAGGACTTCAGAGGACGATTTTTTTTCTTGGGAGTTCAAAGGTTTGCTAGCGGACAAGCATACATGAACAACGGTTGGATTACGTAATGACGGTGCATTGTGCTATTGGGCAAAAGACAAGTTGGGCAAACCACATCGGAGCGACTACGATCATATCCTCACAAGACGGACTATTATCCCGTGCTACGAACACCTGCATTTGCATTTGGGGTATTTGGAGGAGTATACGAGGCGTCTTTGCAACGGTTTCGTTTTATATTTGGGCCGGAAAGTTACACGATACGTCTGAACACGGAACAGGCGAAAGAAAAATAAAAGCCGGAAAAAAAAAAAAGCCACACGAAATTCATTTTTCTGCCCTACTTACATAACGAGATGCTTGGAGGGCTCAGCCCGAGGAATCGAAAGTTGATAAATACTCAGAACGGCTGGGAAAGGCAGCTGCTCAGGACAGGGCACTGATGTTATTTGCACTGGAGAAAGCATGTTAGACAATGGGGTTGGGCGCATTGCATTGCATCATGTCGCATGGCAATTTCATGTTGCATAGCGGACAGATGGAGTACGGAAGTCAGAAAAGGGGTAGGCATAGACCATTCATGTCTATATGAAACCTCGTCCACGGTTTAGGTCCTGGTCCGGGCCTCACAGGCTCCATGCTCCACGACTAGGACATCTATGGCTGAGGGTGCATTACTGTCGTTTGGCGAAAGATGTTTTTGCAATTCAGGTTTTTTCTTTCTCGAGGTAAATGGTTGGAGATGATGGTCTTTCAAACAGGGGGTATCAAACATTACTCATGGCCAGGAGTCAGGGGTTTTTGTTATTATTCTGCCCTATGTCTGTTATCGGAGACTGGGCCAAGCGAATATGGGCTAAATGGAGCGCGGCGTTGCTTCTTTTCCCCTGTTTTGTCTGGCAACTATAGCGTTGATTCCCCCTTCGGTCTGCAGGTTTACGTTGTTTTTTATGATATTTTTTCTTCTCTTTATGTCAACATTTTTTCTAAGTGGGCTTTCGTACATTCCGCCCTGTTTTGATTGATTTGTTTCCTGGCTCAACTTGGTTCGGCCTGATTTCCTAAATCGTTTTATCGGTTTATTTTTTTTCCTTGTTGAAATTCTTTGGTCGCATGTTTGGTCTGCTTGGGTTTGATTTTGTTTGATGAAGGGACATGGGACTTCAAGTAAGGCACTGGATGGACGGATTTTGTTTTATCAAGTGAAGGGAACTAACTTTGCGACGCTGTTCCGTGCGCGCGGCGTGTTCCCTTTGACTCATACTTCTCTTCTCTTCAACTCGGGATAGAATTATTTGGTATGCTATTTACTTTTGACTTCGTGACGAAACGTGTCGTTCGTACTAGGGTTCACAAATGCAGACTTTTTGCATGACATGATACGCTGAAACCACACCAACCACATCAGAATTACCCTCCTTGACTGGGATCTAGGCCCATCTGCAGTCTCCCTCCCTCCATCATAAGCTTTCTGGTGACATGACTAACGGGCTGCCACACCTCTGGCTTGACCCCCAAAACATGATAAGCCTCTCACCGGTTTTCTGGGTTACCCTCGCCGTGCTATAGGCCCATGCCTGCAGACCAGAGTTACCCTTTCTTCCACCTCCCCAACAACCAAAAGAAGGGCAGGGAGGCATCGAACAAAGTTGATGGCTGCATGGCGGGCAAGGAAACTCCATTCTTTCGTCCCATACATGTGTGATGTGTGATATGATGTGCGCATATGTATGTGTAATGTGGCAGGGGGTGTTTGATATTATGCGACCCTCAGACGGACCGCACCTAGACCGGGGAGGGGCGGGCAACCCGCTGAGAGGCCCCGCGACTAGTGGTACTGGATGGGAAGGGGGGGAGGAAGGTCCGGTCAGAGACTGGGCCTTCCAAAGTACATTTTGATTTGACAGGGCGTGGCCCTGGCCCAGGAGGGGGGGGTTTAAACGCGACATGTGCTGGCGAGCGGGAGAGGGTTGGTGGTGTGGCGTGTGAGAGATGGAGTCGAGGGGGGCTCCTGCCAGGTTTTCTATTTTACTTCTGGCGTGTACGTTTTTAATTTTATGATATGTGACGAGATTTGGTGGAGGGTGGGAGGAGGCCCGGATCGGTGGGTGGTGTTCAAGTAGGGCGCATTGGGTGAGTGGGAGTGGATGACGCCGGACAGGGGACTTGGAGGAGGGCGGCGGCAGCCGCCCTGTTGAGATCGGGGACCTGTCGCTTTCTACGGAATAAGAAAGCGTGGAGGGTAGGACCCCATGCATGGATGTAGCTGGGAGGGCGGTCGGCCGAGAGTCTGGATGGGATGGAATGGGTGGGTGTGTTGAGGGAGGGTGGGAGGCGGCTTGTTGGTCTGAGGCGACCGGGACAGTCGCTTGTCTCTTCCCATGTGATGCTTGAGCATCCTTGCGTTGAGGTGCCACGTCTCTGGATGGATTGTACTATTGAAATTTGGGGATTTACGTGTGAATGATGGATGGGCTCAGCCCGCAGACATGTGGAATCGCGTCTCGAACAAGCCCGACCGTCTTCGGGTTGGCTCGCTTCGCTGGGATACCTCCCTCCCACTGGCCCCTCACGCCGTCCCCATTTGCCAGTCAAGGTCGCGGCCGCTATCACTCGTCCTCGTTGGCCCACCCCATTGTCATTGTCGCCCACAGGTCGTGGAAGATGGCCTGTCGCCCGGGATTCCCTGGAGCTCCAGTAGCTGCTGACGTGCTGCCGGCATTGTTGCCCATTGGCGGCATGGCATGCGGCATAGCGCTCAGGTCGACGTCCCAGAGCGGGAGGTACTGCTCCAGGCTGCCATCCAACATGGGGCATCGAATCCCAGAGGCGCGCGCTGCCTCCTCTCTGGCGGCGGCCTCGAGCCGTTTCTCGAACTTGTCCTTGACGACGCCCATGACCACGCGGCTGGCGGAGCACACGTCGACCTTGTTTGAGGCCGGTGTGAACGGGGATTCATCCTCGCAGAATTTGGTCAGGAACTGGCTGAGCTGTAGTTCGGAACGGGCCCAGACGTAGTCAAACCCTGGGCACTCGGGGACGAAGAAGCAGAGCCGGAGTGCAACGACAACACTCAGGACGACGCGGCACCAGTCGACGACAATGAACGCGGTGAAATTTCTGCGAGTGAGAGAAAGCAGACAATCAAAGTATCGCCTCAGGTGAGCTACTGCGACACATAGTTTTGAAGGGGAAACTTGGAGAGACGAGCCGTTCCGGAGTTCCTTGGATCGTGGGTAGGCCGGGATGATGCTGCTTGAAGTAAGGAAAAAGTCTATGAAAAGCGTTGACAATTGGACAGATTCTATCAAGGTTAGAAAATTAGGATGTCTGTCAAGCGTGGGGTAGAGAAAGGGTTGGACGTACGAGCCGAGGATATCTGGCTTGGTAGCACCTGCTGGAGCTCGCGCAGTTGCGTCTCCAAACCTAACAGAAGGAGTCGCCTCTGCTCGCTAGACTTTTCGGTGCTCTCATAAACCGCATCTGCGGCGTGGCTGTTGATGCTGCATATTCTCGTAAGTGTAGCAAGGACTCTGTCGTTGTCGGATTTGGCATGTTTCTCAAGAATATCGCAGCATTTGAGGGTCCAAGGTGTGATATTAGATGCCATGTTCTTCATAACTCTCCAAGAGATGAGAAACCTAGATATAAGTAAGCAGCTGAGCAAGACTATTCGGAGAGGTGGGTGATAGGCGTACGCTGAGACAAGATAGGAGTAGCCAAGATAGGCTCGAATTCCATCAAGCTGGTCGTCAGTGATGTCCCCAAACATATACTCAGAGATATCCTGGTCAAGATCAAGATCATGGATCAAGTCACCAATCATGCGAATGTAGTGAAACACTTGCTTGTTCCTGGGTCGTAGATGAAAGGGGTACCTAGAGAACAGTTCGAGTTAGACAGGTAAACCAAGGGCCCATGCCAAAAGATACACTTTTCATTCTTGATCCCCCCATTACATCATTTTTCCGGTATGTGCTTACCATGCGCAGTATATGAGAAGTCCCTGGAGGAGTTGGATATTTCTCTCCCCGCCAGCAACGAACTTGAGCCCGAGGACTTTTCGAAACTCGGCATCGTATAGGGTGTGGCCCTGGAGCGTCTTGGACCCTGAAGTTGAGGCTAATATTGCCAACAGAAGAAACGGCTTGGTAGCTGCCAAGGTAGGGACTGTGGCGTTTTGCGGAAGAAGTATACATGGGAACTGAGGTATCATGGCGTGGAATGCCTCCAGTAGTGACTCTGCAGACGACAGGTTGAATTGGGGCTTCCCATTAAGATCTTCAATGGAATGAGAGTTTGTTGTTGATGAAGCTCCCGGGGTGGGTAGTCCTGATATGAAGGAGTCGTGGTCTTGGCCAAAACCAATATCATCATCTCCTTCTACAGGAGGTAGGAGAGAGTCCATGAGACTCTCGTGCGTTTCTCGCAAAACCTCGAAGCTGTCGTCCGGCTCAGGTGGTGCAGGCACGTCAAAATTGATGCTAAATGTGGTGGAAGCAGAAGTATTTGGAGCTGAGGGGGGAGGTTTAAGCTGGCCATCAGGGCTACTTCAGAGGGCATCAGCATCGTGGTTGACCGAACCCCTCAAGCAATGGGTAATGCATTGAAACAGAAAGCGAGGGGCAATTCACTTACGCCCTGAGCCCGGTCTTCCTGGACCTCCGGGTTCTTGGCCCTGTCCTGGAGATGCATTCCTTCTTGGTGTCAAGGCACCTGGTAGAATCATAATCTGTAAGTAGGTGTCTCCTTTGATAACGGGTGGTTTAAAGCATCAAATAACCATGCTCAGCAGCTGCTTACTTTCGGCACACTCCAGGCTGCTCGCTGGGTTGGCACTTGATCTTGCATGCTCTGCAAGCCTCACACGCCGTCTGAACCCTTCTTCGGCCAGTGGAATCGGCAGCTCTGGCCTCGGTGGGTTCCGTCTCAATGTCCATGATGCCGGCTGCCCCGTTTAGCAGGCGGGCGAGAGAAAATCAGACGATTTTGTGTGGGTATTCCTGGATGGATGGGCTTGCAGGGGATGATTTTGTGAGAGAAGGGAGGCAATCGATGTCTTCCCTGGCACTCGTAAAGAATTGGTAAACGTCAGGCGATGCCTTCAGCTCAGATCCAACAGAGAAATGGGGACAATCGGCGCCGCGCCGGCGCAGAGCATCACAAATCAGGTTTAAAATGGAGGAAGCAGCGGAGCAACAACAGGCCGAATCCTGCCCAAAACGCCGGTCGCTCCCGGCATCTGCGCAGTGGGTCTTCCTTCGGCTGCACAAGCCATCGGTGTGAGGATACGCGTGTATTATGGCGGTAGTACAGGGCTGAGATCACGAGATGACGAATTGATCATATTTGTTGATTTGTCCAATACTTCAGAGCACATGAGCATGGCGTGCAGGTGCTAGATGAAAAGGATCACGCCGCCTGGTTGGATATATGTTGCCTAGCCTCACAACCTCAGCAACCCTAAGTGAATCGAACCCTTGCAAAGGATCTAATTAGAATGCGAAGACTATCTCGAATTTCGTAAATCATGTCTATCTCTCCTAACCCCTATAGATTCTAGCTTTCTCATCACGATCTGGGGATGGAGACGGACAAAATCAGCGCAAATCTCGAGAGCCGCAAGATGTTCTAGCGACAATTTAACTAAATCGGCACACAGAATCAAGGCGAAATAGGAGGCAGAGTAGCCGGTAATCGTATAAATAAAATATCGATGGACCATTATCAGGCGTTCTGTTAGGTGTCTAGTTCGTTTCGCGAGGAGGCATAGGCGGAGCTCAAGTCCAGTATAGTAAGTAGCGCATGATCTTCTCCGGAATTTCGTACAAACCATCGCCTACGTCGATATGTAAATCTTGTCTTGCCCAATTGGTATTGGTTTCACATTTGGTTGGTAATTCATATTCTAACACAGTGGAAATCCATCAAGAAGAATCACATGATGACTTATGCTTACGGTCTGGTGGTTTAGTAGTATGATTCTCAGCTTAAAACATACCATTGGACCAGTTCGAACATCTCAGCTATTTGGAACTACTGGGGAACTGGCTTTGGTGAGGCATCATTTGTTTACCGTATAATACGGTAGTACGGGACCTTTTTACACTCACACCCGACTCCCCCCTTCATTCTGCGGCGTACTAGTGTTTCATTAGCATATAGAACTGAATTAGGTTACTTTTGTCCAATGTAACGGGGATGTGTATCTCCAAATTCATACCACTAGGCTATTCAGACTTTGTAAACATAGCGATAGTAGTACTATATCTCCTTGAACAAAAGGAGAGAGCTACATATAGATGCCGGTCCTGGGTATTCTATACAAATCAACATATGGCAAGGCTGTTTGGCCTGATGACAGTCGTTTCACGTCAGATCAGCTGGTCCAGGAAAATTCAAGACCAGGGTTCTGCTTCCGAAGCGTTTCTTCCACTACCTGCTCAACATGTTTCACTAGATTCTGGATCTCCTGTGGCGTTACACCTTTAAACCCATGCTGGGCGTCAAGATGTGATGGTAGGTTTTGGTAGGCGCATCTCGACGAGCAGAAGAGTGACATCTTCTTCTCATCTAAACAGCGTAGGCAGATGACTGTGCCATTAATGTCGTCTTTCATCTCTTCGTCTTCATCGCCCTCCTGCACACACTGGTCACCAGACGTACAGTCATGTTCACTATCGATATGATGCTCCTGCTTCCAAGTCAGTACCAAGTATCTTCTTATAATAGATGTACGATCTGCTAGATTCATGCAGACTTACATATCCTTCGTGGAAGCATGTCTCTGTACAATAAGTAGTGAGCTTTTTCTCCCCTCCCATAAGATTGACAGCCTGGCAAACAGAACATGAAAGAACATCTTTGGGATCAACTTCCTTCTGGCAGACCGAACATGGTGGGAGGTCAACTGGCTTCTCGTTTGCATTGGCAGGTGCCGATTTTCGTTGCTGGCCTTTTGAAACCGCTGCCGGATTATCTTGTTCGAAAGCGGTCTTTGCTCGCCGTAGCTCCTCCAGCCTGCCCTGGTGAATTTCTCGTTGTTCCTGGAAGCGCTGGCTGGTTTTGTTTTCAGAGATAATACTGTCGATGATCTCCTCTAATCGCATATCCGGCTGTTCCAGGTACGCCTCAATATATTTCTCGGCACCCTTGACAGGTGCTCCAGTGACACGGTCCTTCAGGAACTCATCCACATAGAGCTTCCTCAATGCTGCTTGATCCTCGCCAACAGACGCAACTTTGTTGGCAAATTCGTCGACTTTGGGAGACCAGTCGTCGGGTTTACCCACAGCCTGCCACACTATCTTCACGAGCTCATCCTTGGAACGGTCGGGATCGTCGAGGACAGCCCTCAGCTCATCCAGTTCGACGCCACAGTCGGTTACGGCCAGGAACTCCGGGTGGCGCCGCAACACCCAGCGATACCAGGCCTCTTTCTCGGATTCGATGTTGGACTCGATTTCCTTGAGCGCTAGCTTCCTTTCCCTTGCCTGTGCGAACTGGTCCTCCAGCTCCAGCACAAACGCGCTGCGCTGAGAGAACCACTCTCCGCCCGCCTCATTGCTGTATCGCGCCAGCATCCTATCCAGGATCTTCTTGTAACAGGCAGAACACTCCGACACATGGCTCTTGCCGCATCCTGATGCACACGCAATTTTGATCCTCTCAATGTCTTGGGCGCATTGCTGTCTCTGTTTCCGCGCTGCGTTGAGCTCAGACCAATGCTCTGGAAGGGCGCAATTCGACACCCATGCCATCTTGAAGAGAACCCGGCTTATCGCGAAGGGAAAAGAATGAGATTAGTTGTCCCCCACCTGCGGGAGCCAGCCGTCAGCGAGCGCGCGTTCTCACTCAATGAGGTGCTCCGGATCAGGAAGAGTACAACCGTTCACACCACTGGGGGTGATTGCCTGGGTTCAAGGATAAAGGCCAAAGACCCTGCCTCGCTTCTCTCTGAAGTATTGAATTGGAATAAGAAATTCACTATGTTCTTGCCGAAATTCTGTTGAGATTAAAAGGTAGTATGCGTGTATGCTTGGTTTGCAGGTTCCAGGTTCATGTCAACCCGCGCTGCATCTACAAAAACGCCCCACCCGAAGATATTCCGCTTGTCGCAAATATCATCAACCTCGAGAGTCAAGCAACCGGTCAACTGCAACCTCCACCTTCAGTCAAAACCACTATCATCTGTTACCCGCAACAATGGTAAGCAAACCCGTATCCTTTAGTGGCCTCACACGCGATCTGATCTCGCTCATGGTTTCTCGTGCACATAGGCCGACAAGCTTCGCAACCAACAAGAACTCGAGCGCCTCCAGGCCAAGTACGTCGGCACTGGCCATCCCGATACAACGAGCTGGGAGTGGCGGACCAACATCCAGCGTGACACATATTCTTCCATCGCTGGGCACAGGCCTCTGTTGTCATACATTGCGCTCGCCGAGAACGAGCCTGTAGCCAAGGTTCGAGCTCAGATGATACGGGTACGCGCTGCGCTCGCCCCCATTCTACCCAACATCCTTTCTCTGGCCTCCAGTTCTCCTTTGATCTCGACTCTTGGCGCTTCCATCTTGCTAACTGGTACGCCGCGATTTAGAAAATGATTCAACCTTGCGGACCTCCACCCCAAAAAGAAGAATGATCATCGGCCAGCGTTCGATTTCATAATAGTTCAAATAGAAAGACTCTAGAGTCGGTCGGTTGGCTCACCACAGCACCGAATCGAAGACCGAGACAAGCTCAATATTTGGAATGGCGTTTATTTTTACGAAATACCCGTGTAGCCACACTTAGGATTTATTCTCTAAAGCGTCATTAATGCATTCAACAATTTCCGTCACACAAAAACAAGGAGAAACAAACAAATTGGAGGCTTCGTGCAGGGTGTTTTAAAACCCTGTTGTCAATGTTATCTTTTATTTCATGATTCGTACTCGCTTCAACTCATAGCGGTGCCAGACCCCCTCCGGCTCCTCGATGGCTCGCCAATTTCCTCCTCCTCGGCAGCGGCATCCGCACCGCTTTGCTTAATCCCCAGGCTGGCCCGGAGCTTCTTCTCCAACTCTGGCTCTGTGTCCCCATACACCTCTCTCGTCATTCCCATGACGCCGTCAAGCCCGATCTCGTCCTTAGCCCGCGGTCCAATGTGCCAGGTAATTGAATGTTCACCGTCCTGACCGACAGGCGGACGGTCGACCCTCTTAACCACATAATTTTGTTTTTCCATCCTCTTTAGTACGGCCTCTGTCTTCTCCGCCGATACATTCTGATCTGCGTTGAGCCGCGTGAGATACCGATTGAGCTTCTGGTCACTCAGTTCGCCCCCGCTAAGCCAAATACACGATACCACCAACGTAGAGAATGCGGCAAAGGTAGCTTCGTCGTCGGAGCTCGGGGATTTGGAGGGTGCGAGTATACTTGCGCTTCGGTATTCGCTCGGTAAGATTGAGGAAAGGACGTAGGTCCCTGAGCCCGCTTTCGCCTGCGAGGCTGAGCTCATTGCTAAAGAGACCAGGGTCAGCATGAAGGGCGATACAACAGCGTGCCGGAAATAATAAACAAACCTTTTCGTTTCTCGTGAAGTGATAGCTTCTCTCGAAGGGGTAACTCTCTAAGCTCCATGCCCCAGACCTCCTGTAACTGTTTCTGCGCAAGCGCGTAGATGCGCCTGAACGAACGGCCTTCATTACCAAGCACTATGCGCCATGTTAATTACCAGCTCCTTGCCAATTTCAGGTTCTATGTTCGGAATCTCCCACCTCTCTCCTTGATTCCGTCTCTCTTGATCGGGGTTCTTGAAAACTCGCACGATAACGCGTATCTTACAAGCTTCTTGACGAGCTGTTCCTCGGCGTCTTGCGCTGCCGAGGGAGCGTCCATGTCCATGTCATCCTGAGATGAAACATCTTCATCTGAATCAGGATCGTTTCGGTTCATGCGTTGTCGGGGCCGGTCTTGTTCCTCTGGATCATCGCGATGGTCGCGCTGGGGAAAAATTAACAACTGGCGATTACATGGCGCGGTAGGCAGTGAGCTCTCACCGTTCGTCGACGCCTCTGCGTTGAGGACATGTTGGGAGATAGGGTACACCGAAAGATTGAAATTAACGTCAGTTAGCACTCAGATATCAAATAGATCAGATTCGGCAGTATTTATTCGAATTGAAACGGTAACTGCGCTGGAAATCTATTAGATAGCTGAGGGGTAGTGCTCCGGCAAGTTGATGCGATGCTCCGGAACGCGTCTCAATCAATTAATTTTGGCGTGTTCTATCTTATCGGTTATCTTATCGCCGCAAAAATTATTGCGGCCAACAGCGGCACCATTGAAGCTCTACGTCCAGCGTCTGCGACCCGGGGAAATTGGAATGGCACTCGCTCCATTGCGATAGCTGTTCGCCCTCTTTCTCATTCATGATTTCACAGGTGGCATGCGTGCCGCGCATTTGCCAATCATGCCGGCAGGGCCTCCTACTTCGCCGGAACCCGACCTTCAGCGCCGCCCGCTTCTTCCACCCCGACACCGTACTCCAGCGACGCGGAAATGACGCCTCTGTTGTCCAGAGTAAAGCCAGGATAGAAGCCCTTATTTCAGGGAAGCCTTGGGAAGAGGAGAAGCCTTCTGGGGGTAGGAAGCGACGGAATACGCCCAAGTCACGGAGAATACAAGACGACGAATTGCCGGACTGGGGACTCTCTTCAGAGCAAAAGAAACCTGTTACCGAGAAGAAAAAGCCCGTTGTCCAGAAAAAAAGGCGTGCTGCCCAAAAACCAAAGGCTTTCAGGGACCGAGATGGCGAGACATCTACCTCGAGATCGAATATCCACAGTCAATTATATGATCTAAGCCCAACCATTAGTCGCTCAAAGAACTCAAATATGTGGAAGGAAGCCGCTGCCAAGGGTTTATCGGACGTTGAAGGGCATCGAATATCTAGAGGCAAGAGTACAACAAACTATGAAGAAAATTGGGCTTCCAAGATTGAGGAGATCAAAACAGATGCCAAAGAATATGATGAAGGCAAAACTACTCCCACGGCTACAGTATCCCTCGAAGACGATCGACCCTCCAACAACGAAATAGTCTCTGGTAATGCACCGGGATCTTTGGGTGCTAGCCCAGAGGATGTACCTAGCAACAGTCTAGGGTTCACACCTGAGAGCATCAGCATCACTGGAGCTGAAACTTTCAACGCTGAAGCCGTATCCACGGCGCAAGCAGGGGATGACAGCGCAATCGCCGAGGCGGATGAAGGGTCTGCTGATTCAGAGAGGCCCAGGAGCTATGCCAAGCGGGAATTCAAACACCAGCATCTAGAGCAACGTAATATCAGCATAAGCGCTCTTGGGGAAGACATTAGCGCTCTAGTGCTCTCGAATCCGGACAAACTCAAGCGGAAAACTAATCCTGTCGTATCGCTCCCTCGGGACAGAGGAGTTCTCGGGTCTGAACTAGATTGGACAAGTCTTCTAGATGATACAGATGCCCTGGACGACATTTCCGTTCAAGTGAGAAGGAACATCGAGGAATTTCGGCCCAAAGATTCGAGTGTTATAAAAGCAAAGGACTTCAAGAAAATAATACGGGCCCTTTTTAATGGATTCACAAACGAACAACTAGCTGCATATTTCCGCCAAACTTTGGAAACCAGCAGCAGAGCGACAAATGAGACGCCAAAATACCCCTGGCTCGTCAAACAAACTACATGGGTTCCTTCAAACCCTGAATTACTGGGCCCATTATCCCCGAAGCAGAAAGTTGCCTACTTGATTCTGAAAGAAGCTTGGGCGCTCGACATACAGGAACAAAACGAGGGCCTAGGCGCTGTGTCTGTGACTCTTCGGCCAGATGTTTTCGAGCTCATTTCTAGTTGGTATTGTCTTGCTGTGTCTACTAGCCATTGACTAACCATCGGCAGATCCATCTACTGGCGCTCTCAAGTCTCTTCAATACGATATTTTGGATGAGTCGAGCAACGAAGATATTGTAGCAAATGAGAAGAAGCATGAACTTGGTATTTACGCTCGCAAAGCTTCTGTCCGCACCATCTTGTCGCGAATTGACGAGGCTGCGGCGTCGATGCGGACACAGGAGCTTTCTGTCCAGGGGGTCGACTCTCTTGATTTACAAAAAGATGTCTTGGCCAGACTCTCCAGTATTACCAAAACCTCCATTCAATATCGTAAAGAGGACTCGGTAATTCTATTTCCATCATCCCTTCCCTCCTCTTCAAAGGATACTAATCAGTAATCTCATCTCAGATATTAAACGTCAAATGGTTGGATCAACATAGCCCAGCCGCAAACACGAAACCATCTCCTAGCGGACCAAGCCTACAAGTCGAAAGTCCTCCAGACATCGTACTCAGACTGTTACTTCAAGATCGTTACATTCGAGATCGTTTCCAGTCGACGTCAGATTACTGCGTGCTTCCTCCTTCAGAAACGGCCATGTTCATGCCTCATGGGCGCGAGGTCCGAAGCTTGTCTTGGAGAAATAAGTTGAGAACCTGGTCTCGATATGTAATGCCAGTAGGTAAATCATCTTCGGAAAACACAGCGCAACTCAAGTTGTCCAGTAGCAAACGTCTTCTGCGTAAAACATCAAAGTTGAAGACGGATGGGCCACAAGTTCGGTTTGCTGCAACATTTGGCCATATCTTACATTCGGACGCAGCAGCGCCTTCGCCTTCCAAAAGGAAGAAGACTACCGGACACCGCGTGCTTCTTCCAGTGCTGCCACACCCAGCTGCCTTCACGAGATTAATCGGAAAGGGAAAGGCGAACCCTCCACTCTCGAAAAGCAGCTCCATCGTCCTCAATTTCATACCAACGCAGCATGACAGCAAAGCGCCAGAAGTTCGGCTTTCTCTCCCAGTCAATGCCGATGACGACTTTTCCGACTTCACAATGTCTGATGAGTCCAAGCTCTATGCTATCTCTCCGATCCACCAGCAAGACTTCTTGTGCCCAAGAGAGAGTGTCGACGTGCGTGTAACTCAGCAAAGCGAGTTACCATTAGACTTGGCGAAACAATCTCACATTCGAGAATTCTTCAGGGCCTCGGAGTTCAACCTCGTAGAAGGTCGGCTTCGAACCCCAAGTCATACACAAATCTCCTTACCCGCACACTTACTTCCCGAGCCATCAAAAGATGCGCAGACTGCCTCTGAGGTGGGATATACTTTCGCAGGGCTCGAAATCCATCAGACTATGGACCTGGAGTGGCACGACCACATCCTCAGGTACAACAGCATCGAGGCGGGTCAACACGGAGGCACCCGCCAAGAGCTCTCTCTCCAAGCCGTTCAAGACCCCAACGGCCCCACCAATGCAGTCCATCGGTCCCAGTTCCTTCATGCCGTGAATGGGATTGTGACCGGCAAGTTTTTCTCTTGGACCGAGGGATACAAAGCGATTCGTAAACTTCCCGAAGAGCATGAGCTCGACAGCGAGCAGAATCAGGGTTATAAAAATATGGAAGGCTTGAAGGTCGACACCCCCGATTTCCATCCGGATGACACTTGGTCTCATGCTTCGGGTGAGAGTCATGTTCACTCTGCAGAACCCACCTCCATATATGAGCAGTCCGATAGAACACTTGAGAGTGGAGAGGAACTGTCTCTTATCGTTCGACAAGCTTTGAGCGGCGAGGAAGGATTACAATCGACACGGTATACGAATCAAGGTGAAGATGCGATTCGGGCAGGGGAAAGGCTTGTTCGCATGATCGAAGAAGCACTGGCCCAAGAAGCAGCTCCTGTCGAGGGTGGTAACATTACTTCTGATGATCATCACGCATCTATATCCGCGATTACCCAGGCCGAGGATGTACTACGAACAACAGAACAGCTCACCATAACCATCGAAGAGTCTCTTGAAGAACAAAAAAGTCAGGGGCGCGAGGAAACACTAGGCCAAGAGGCAACTCCGCCAGAGAGTGACAGCATTACTTTTGATGATCTTATCCCTAGTTCTACGCTTGATGAGGCCGAGAATGGATTGCGAACAGCAGAGCAGCTCGTCACAATAGTCGAAGAGGCAGTAGAAAAACAGAAGAGTGATGAAGGTGTGGATGGCCGGAATACTTCTACGAAGTAGGGTGAGAGAACCTACCTCTACACCAAGATGGGGTCGTATTGACCAGGAAGCTCACTCCAATGTATTATAATGTTAAAATCACATGTATAACACCATAGACGCACATACTATCTTATGTACCTAGTTATCACAAGAGTTGTGTACAAATCAGCAGCGCATATTAATGATATATTTTTAGGATTAGGCCGAACTTCGGGTGAACATGCACTCATTCAAACTCTCTCTCGGGGTGAGGGAAAGAAATGCTTAGAGGGCGAGCAGATTCATTTCATTCACAGGGACAGCAAGGAAGGGCAAATTAATTTTAGAAACTTTTTGTTTTTTTCATTGACAGCAGAAGTCACTTCTATTCTTTTTACCAGCACATTTCAAGAGAACCTATGACGCAGAAATTCCTATACCCAGTCTCTCATTATGTGCTCCGAAGACAAAAAGCCGGAGTGGTCATGCATTTCAGGGGAAAATCATATCGTCGTAGAAGCGAGTACAAAACTTTCCCGACACCAGAAGTCATCGAAGCCATCCAGGTCGAGGTGTCATGCCAACTCATTCGCTTATTTCTTGGCAGCCTTGGCAGCGGACTTGGTAACCTTACCGGAACCAGCAGCGGCCTTCTCAACGGACTTGATGACACCGACGGCGACGGTCTGACGCATGTCACGGACGGCGAAACGGCCCAGAGGAGGGTAGTCGGTGAAAGCCTCAACGCACATGGGCTTGGAGGGAACCATCTTGACGATGGCGGAGTCACCAGACTTGATGAACTTGGGGTTGGCCTCAGTAGCCTTACCAGTTCGGCGGTCGATCTTCTCGAGAAGCTCGGAGAACTTGCAAGCAATGTGGGCAGTGTGGCAATCAAGGACGGGAGCGTAACCAGCACCGACCTGTCCAGGGTGGTTGAGGACAATGACCTGGGCGTTGAAAGAAGCGGCACCTTGGGCAGGGTCGTTCTTGGAGTCGGAAGCGACGTTACCACGGCGGATATCCTTGACGGAAACGTTCTTCACGTTGAAACCAACGTTGTCACCGGGGACACCCTCGGTGAGCTGCTCGTGGTGCATCTCAACGGACTTGACTTCAGTGGTGACGTTGGAAGGAGCGAAGGTAACGACCATACCGGGCTTGAGGACACCAGTCTCGATACGGCCGACGGGTACTGTGCCAATACCACCGATCTTGTAGACATCCTGGAGGGGAAGACGGAGGGGCTTGTCAAGAGGACGCTTGGGGGGCTCAATGGAGTCAATGGCCTCGAGGAGGGTCTTGCCGGAGGACTTGCCAGCCTTGGTCTCCTTCTCCCAACCCTTGTACCAGGGGGCGTTGGTGGAGGGGGACAGCATGTTGTCACCGTGGAAACCGGAGATGGGGACGAAGGCAACGGTCTTGGGGTTGTAGCCAACCTTCTTGATGAAAGAGGAAGTCTCCTTGATGATTTCCTGGAAACGAGCCTCAGACCACTGGGTGGTGTCCATCTTGTTGATGGCAACAATGAGCTGCTTGACACCCAGGGTGTAGGCGAGAAGAGCGTGCTCACGGGTCTGGCCATCCTTGGAGATACCAGCCTCGAACTCACCAGTACCGGCAGCGATGATGAGAATAGCGCAGTCGGCCTGGGAAGTACCAGTGATCATGTTCTTGATGAAATCACGGTGACCGGGAGCGTCTGAGGGGTATCAGTTAGTCAACATGCCTTTGCATACACAACATAGGTGCAACCACATACCAATGACGGTGACCTGGTACTTGGGAGTCTCGAACTTCCAGAGAGCGATATCGATGGTGATACCACGCTCACGCTCGGCCTTGAGCTTGTCAAGGACCCATGCGTACTTGAAGGAACCCTTGCCGAGTTCAGCGGCTTCCTATTTGGTCACTGTCAGCGTGTGCCTTCCTTGAGAATTGTATCAATGACTGTGGCGGGGTTGTGGCCCCACTAAAATGGGCCACAAAAAAATTGAACTTTTTGAGGAGGGGTAGGAGGGGCACAAAAGGCCCAGGTGTGAGATGCGAGACGCCGCACGATATGGGCATCAAAGGAGTGGCTGTTCTTACCTTCTCGAACTTCTCAATGGTACGCTTGTCAATACCACCGCACTGGTAGATCAAGTGACCAGTGGTGGTAGACTTGCCGGAATCGACGTGGCTATTTCGATCGGTTAGCTTGGTGCCCGGCGATTGTAAGATTCAATCGGTTCAAAACATACCCCTACAAGCGACGGTTAGCATCTTGTCATCTTCATTCGAGCGGGAAGGCAGGAAGCACTTACGATAACGACGACGTTGATGTGAGTCTTATCGTCCTTGCCCATTTTGGCGGTGTTGTGTGAAGTTTGATACGTTGGTTCTTGTGGAAGTCTTGACTTCTAGATCTGCGAGCACGAACTAAATTAGTCGCCGCCTTGTGTGAAGAAGGAATGATGAAGCTCTTGGTGAAGAGGCACCAAGCTGAAGGAAACATACAATTTCGCAGATCGGATGCTTGAACCGGGTATGCGAGGACAAAGAGCAGAAGAGAAAAAATTTCGAAAGAGGGTGGTGGGAGGAGCAGTTTTAAAAGGTCTGGTGGGGGAGAGGAGGCAAAGAGGGGTGGGGCCAGAATGTGCTGCTTGCTCGCGCGGGGCAACGATCTCAGGCAGCCCTCGCGTTACCGCCGCACAACAAAAGGGAAGCCCTAACACCATCAAGTTTTTTTTTCAGTCACTCGGCGTGACTGTGGTGCGATATGATTGGCCCGATTGTGGGTCTTGTAGCCAAAGAGTTCCTGCCATCTCACAGCAGGAGCAGTGAGACGCAAAGCAATCGCTCCTGCTCAGCGCTACGAGGGATATTATTTCACCAGGGCAACTGGCTACAGGTAGTATCTGATCGCTATCAACGAGCGCGCAGCTCTTCTGCGGAGAAAATTCACAAATGCCTGGTTTGAGGGCCTTCTAAAATTCGAGGCTCACCTGGTTTCCGTGGCAATCTAGGTGTATTGTTATGCGACAAACGTCACTCCTCCGCAGCTGCCAAAAATGACCTGCAGTTGCAGCCACAAGCAAGCTAGCCGCCCAATATCACAGGGAGTACCTCCCGGCTACCTATGCACTACTCATCTTACTCAAAACGCAGCACGTTGCCTGATAGAGCAGTCATCTTTGGCCGCAGCACTCGTTCTCCGTTGCATGGCCAAAAGCCAAGGGAATAATGTAACCACACCCATTTTACTGGATCCCCGTCAATAGAGGGGAGAAAAAACTTCATTACTAGCCAGCCGGTACTTGGACTCTGTTAGTAGATACGGGTGGGGACTTGAGCTTCCATACCCTGTCGCTACGAGAGAAAAAAAAAACTTCAACCCCGTCCAAGACGGCGGCAGGCCAGCAGCCCGAGCCCCTCCTGCCCAACACGCTTACACGTCTCAGCCCAACGATCTGATGTTGGTCTGAGACGGCGTGAGTCACGCCCATCGAGATCAATCAAACCGCCGGCCGTCGATTTCCCAAGAAGCTGGAGAGCTGTCTCTGAGCGCACGATTTTGTATTCAGCTAGTCGCAGCCACAATGAGGGAGCTCAATGCCTCCGGAATTCGAAACAAATCCAGCCAACTGCCCCTCCCCCTCCCCCTCCCTGCTGGCGCGCAGCGTTACTCAGATACGGCGCAGCAAGATAATAATTACCCCTCCAACACTCCATGTCACATTTTTGCAGGAACGTCATGCCCCACCACGGCCAAGCCCCGTCGCCACCGCTTGGAGGTAATTCCTCAGAACGGGTTGGTTTTCAGTGGACATCGCGGCTTGCGATGGAAAGTCGCAAGCGGATCCCGCTGCCGCCAGTTGCATGGCAGCCAAACCGCCAAGTCCTCCCGTCCTCTCCCAATCCTGCAGCCTGGTCTAGACGCTGCGAGGGGCGTGAGCCATCCGGCGAATATGTGCGCTAACCTGCACATTGTGGGTGCGCTTCTGAAAGCATGTGTGCCCATCCCCCAGAACCCACCGCCTCGACGACGGTAGGTGTCACCCTCATCTTGGATGCACCTTTGTAGGTAGCAATAAGCTTTCTGAGAACTCCGTGTCCCAAGTGGCAGTGGGGCGGCTGCTGAGAAGTGTCCAGAGCGCTCAGTTGGCCATCTCCATGCAGCGCGAGGAGGGGTCGTTGCCAGCAGACAGCGCAACTAGCAAAGCATCGAGGCCCAGTCTAGAGGGTCATTATACTAGCTGTTATGACTAGATATCTCGAGATGCAAGGTTACGTGCAAATCGTCCGATCCGTAGCTGCGGGTTTGGCGAGCTGAGGACGCTTGGGCTCGTATTCGAGTTCATCATGGTGTTTGCCTACTTGGATATATCGGCACAGATACAGTGATAACCACAACATTTTGACCCAGGAGAAGATCCAGTAGGTATGAGCAGCGGGGTCGATTTCAGACAGGATCCTGCTGGCTGAAACTGATTCCTTCCAGGAATACGTACGCAATTATAAAGCACTTCTTCGGTCGCCTCGGTGGTAGCTATCCTAGTACTAGCGGCTAATAGAGCTTGCCGCGTAGCTAAGGTAGAGCTAAATACAGGTAGGTGCTCCATCGGCCGTGCCGGGCAGGGGAGTTCCAAAACTCATCCCGACCAGGCCCGTCAACCTATATATCATTTTCCCCATCCTTTCTTCTTCCATTTTCTTCAATTCGATTATTCTTTGCCGACCGAGAACACGCTTTGCCATCCGATCTTTCTCCCCCGCTGCTTGCCACAGGCACATGCGTTGAGGGCCTCCGATCCGACACACCTGTGCGACGAAGCCGACGAAACCGCCACCTCCTGCCTCCTGCCGCCAGCCGCCAGCCGCCGTCAGCTGCCAACAGCCCCGACAGTAACACTTATGCCATTTCCTCATTGCACTTTCCAAACAAAAAAAGGGCCTTTTGGCGCAGTGGTCAAGCCCGTATAGAGTAATAGCAACTCGTTGGACTCCTAAACCGTTAGAGAAAGCCAAGGATCTCGGTGCAAATCCGAGTGCGGGCGTTTTTTTTATATCTTTTTTTTTCTCCGAGATTTTCACCTACCCAATCGCTGGCTACCTGCATATTGCGATTAGCTTGTGATTCCTGTCGAGTCGCATGAATATCCCCGTTCACCATTCTTCTCTGGTTCCATTCGTAGGTACGGCTGAGGAACCGAAGCCATTAGGAGATGATAGCGAACCTGCATGCCACATCACCTTTTAAGCATGAATTCTCCGGGCGATCTCGAGATCGCAATCTGAACTCAACGATGGTAGATGACTGATAATACAATGCAATTGTTCCTATGATTACCTACGTCCAAGTCCTAGGTACTCGCAATTCTCTATACATAGCTCCCAATAAATACAAATCCATTTCCTACCCGCGATCTACGCGACCAGTATGTACATCGCTCTCTAAGTATGATAATGCTACATTCTTCAATGGCCCTTGCCAGCAGGCTTGGCTGGTGCAGCGGTTCTGGGTGTTTTCAACCCAACAAGAACCACCGCGCTCACCACAGCCATGCCAGTAGCTCCAAGCGTATAGGCAAACTCCCTCCCAGCCCACCAATACACGCTGGTGAACAGGATAGGTCCCAGCCCGCGGCCCAGCTGCCCCCAGCTTCGCAAGATGCCCAGCTTCCCACCCCGTTCGTCCTCGCTTGCCTCGAAACTACTCAGGGTATTGAGTCCCGTCACCACCGTGGCGGACGTAACTGCCAAGCAGGTGGCAGCGAGATAGAGACCCCCGACCGTGGAGATTCTGCCGAGAAGCACAAAGGCGACAAGACACGAAAGCACGCCTGCGCGGACCGAGGTCAGGGGTGGAAGGCGACGGGTCACGCCTCCCTGCAGGACAGCCGACACCAGGCCGACATACCCGAGGAGTCTTCCGTTCTTCATTGAGGAGAATTCGAAGAGCTCGTACGTCATGAACGAGAGAGAGCTTTCCATCCCGGAGAAGAAGAGCAGAAACACGAAGTGAATCGCATTGAGCAGAAAATGGGAGTTTGTTCGCTCCACCGAGCGAGGAGGCTCGGCTTTCTTCTTGTCCCGGCCAGCCTTGGCGTCCGATCCTGTCAGAGCAGGGAGCGTCTCTGGGAGCTTGAAGTATAGATAGACCGTCTCGAGCACAATCAGGGCCAAGCTGAATCCTGCAGCTGTCGCAAAGGGATTGGCGGCAAAGGTCGAGATGCTGCTGAGCCAGGCTCCCAAGGCAGGCCCGAAAGTAAACGCTATGGAGAAGCAAGCACCAATGATAGCCATTGTACGACCTCGAGTGGTCTCGTCCGAGATATCCGTCGCCATGGCGGTGGCCAGCTGTATGTTGCCCTCCGACAGGCCACCAATCACACGGCTGGCAATGAAGGTTCGGAAGTCGACGGCAGCCACCCACAGAAGGACGGAGAGAACGTTTCCGCACATGGAGAATAAGAGGGCGCGCCGGCGGCCGTATCGGTCGGAGAAGGAGCCTATGATCGGAGACGCAATGGCTTGGAGAAGTCTGCGAGGTTTCACAGCCGTCAGTCAGGTGGTTTTCCAGCAGCATGGCAGGGCAAACCTTACGAGAATAAGGAGCCCATAGCTCCGCCCAGAAGAACAATATCATAGCGGGATTCTATCGGCCGGGAAAATGCAGCCTTGTATCGATGGAGCCCAGTGAGTATCCATTGTAGAAGGGTGGCCGATTCGCCTTCGTGGGTAGCCGGAGCTTCGCGGTCGCGGTAGAATTCCAGGAGCTTGGGGAACAAGGGGAGGATAAAGGTGAATGAGATCTGTTGAGTGTTAGGATCTTTCGTGATTTCAAGATTTGGGCAGGGGAGGGCAGTGAGCGAGCATACCAAGTCCAAAAGCAGAGAGACAAAGATGACGCGAAGGACTTGCGTCCGCCTTGCTGGGTCAACTGCAGCCGCCATATTCGATGATGGTAAGGGATCAGTCAGGCCGACATCCAGACAAAATCCACCAAGAACTAGTGAAAATGTATCGCTTGGAACTAAGGGGTTAATGTAACGTAATAAAAGAGAGCAGAAGAATGAATTGAACAGCGGGTTGGGCCAAAGCACCCAGGGGAGAATGAAGACAGCTTACAGAACGTCAAGGCTGTGCAGTGGCTTGTTCGAGCAGTCGGATAGTGCCTGTCCGAGCTCCACCAGTCAGCGCACTTCTTTTACCCATCAACACGCAACACGAAGATACCCTGTAACCTGCAAGGTTCGCGGGGCCTGGAGAGAGAAAATTGCATCGGGGTTTTTATTCATTATCAAGTTTTTTTGTGCTTTTCTTCATTTTAAATGTGACAAAGGAAACAGATTGATGCGCGCCCGCAGACGCTGTGGGGGATGGCCATTATTCATGAAAACGTAAACGTTCCAAAAAGCAGGCACATCAAGGTTGCAACATTCCATCCGAACATCGTATATCAACGTCGGATCGCTTAACCATCCATGAGTCGTACGGAAAGAAGTATGTTTCTTTTCCGAACACGTGGCTCATTATATCTTCATATCTCGTGTTCTCAATCCGTTGTCATGGCTGACCGGCAGCGAGGAGCTCAGTTTCTGCTCGATGAATTGTTAGTATAGGTGGCACAGCGCAGCAGAACATGAGCACGAACCTGTGAAGAACTGAGCAACCCATTCTCCATATTGGAGAAGTGCCTCGTGTCAGTACGGCCATGGGCTATGATTGAGTCGTTCCTCCTTCCCCATTACCCTTAACATCCTACCCTTCAACATTCCACATGGAGCAGTCGTCCTCATGTTTGAGGTTCTGGTGCAGCCTAAAGAAGTGAGCGAATACTCTTGGAAAGTAGCACTACAGGGTTGTATCATCAAAGTCTTACCATATATGCAGCAAGGAGATTTGGGGTTTGGTATGCGAGGGAGGAACGAAGATACACAGATATGCTTGATGCGGGAATCCTCCATATGTAATCCCGTCATCGTTGTTCTGGAGGTTTGCGTGGTCGAAAAGTTGCTGTTTCCTGTGAATTGAATTAAGGATTTACCTTCATTAAGTCTTTGAGGATGTTAAACTAACCTTGATGTTTGCCGCCATGAGGATATTGACCATCTCTCACTAGCTTACAAGAAGCATCATCAATCTATACAAGTTAGTTAGTTATCCCAGACCGAAATAAGTGGTTTCCAGAGTAAGCTTACCTGTTTCTTCGAACTGTATCCTGACTTCCCGGGTAGGACACCATCTGCAGTCAGGCCAGAGCAAAAGCTGAGCCCTGCTACACGTGCCTGCTGTTGCAGATTGCGCCCTCCCAGGTCAAGGACTCTCTCCCGCCTCGATTCTTGCAATATTCTTGCTGCCTTTGACCTCAAGATGCTTGAGGAGGGACCTGCCCCAGAGCTCCGGGTCGCCGCAACCGCGATGCCGACGACCCAGACGCCCAGAAAGAGGCAGATGGCCTGCACCCACTCCGGTGAAGCCATCATATCCCACTCCGCCTTGGCGGTACCGTAGCACCAGATTTGTTTTTGATAGAGGAGGCTGCCACAGAGGCAGCTGCCCTTCGCCTGCGGTCAAACGTCGAGAGGAGCGGGCAGCCTCGGTGACGAGACACGGCCCCAATTTGTACTCTTCTCGAGAGCGAGGTCCCCCGGCTTACACACCGTCTGATGTGCCATGGGCGGCTGCATTCTGGGCCGGCTGCAGGTGGAGAACCCAAGCCAATGGCGGTGAAGTCGTGGCCACACGGAAGGTGAGTCGTTGACACGTCTGTTGGGCGCCCAACACATGGCCAACTGCGTGGTTGGAAATCCTGTTAGTGCACTGATATGCTTGCACAAAGGGCCGCATCAAGGGTCCCGACTTGCCAATATTGGGGTGGCATGGCATGTTGAGGGAAGGTTGGGCCAATGGTGCGTGCTGCGGGAGCAAGGGTTCTGCATGGTGCCGAGGCGCCAAATGGGTATTTGGGCATATCTCTACGGAAACGGCAGCCAATCCACGCTTGTTCTGGCGGTGACAAGTCCTCATGAAGTGAGAGACATTTGGTGCTGCATGGCGACGATGTGGCTCCTGCAGTGCGCATGCCTTGAATCTGCGAACGACGGAGAATGCCCGGTACGAGTACGACAGGGTCAACAAGGGGGCCAACAAAATGTTTTTGTCCTCAGAATGTTTGGCATTCTGTCAATACAGAAAAAGCCTCCAGCTCTCCTAGTAATATTCAAGGGGCTGGAGGGAACTCTCTGGCGTACACCGCATCAAACCTTAGTAGGGTAGAATATGCCACCTCCACTCATACATGGGATGTGGTATTTTGAAGTTGACTGTGCCCCCTTGATTGACAATAAACAAACCCATTGCCCTAATGCCTAATGCCCAATGCCGAACCCTATCACCTCATGTTTGCATTGTTGTCGTGCAGTTCACTGGTTGGCTATGGCTGGCCAAGATTGTGTAGCCCAACTCCTCGTGGCTCCGGTTACCTACGTGGCCATGTCCGACCTGCGTGAGAAGCCAGACACCCCAGATCTATTGGCGGAAACACCAGCCTCCGTGATTGGTACGAGGAGAGGAGCGTTCGGATTTGGCCGGCCGAGGTGTGGGACACAGAGGCTGGATCCTGGAAGGGTTCTGAAGCGAATGGTGAGAGCGCCACATGGGAGGTGGTGCAACGAGGATCTGCATCGTGGCGCCTGTTCATGGCGAAGGTGGAATAAAGTGGCGAACCGGTTCATGCCAGCCAGGTGGAAAGCCCCCCTTGCTGCATCCCTGGCCAATTACTCAGTTGGGCAGTCGGTGGTGCTCCCGCCCCTTTTGTGGAAAAGGCTGGGAAACCTCGCCTGCTGGGATCAAGGCTGGGCCTCGCTGTGGGGGTGAGCCAAGACTGTTTGCATCATTCATCTCAGATGTCCTGAGATTGAGATGAGTCGTTTGGGCCGAGGTCCATCGTCATCTCAGACAGGCCGATGGATGCGAAACATGCATGCGCGAGGAGTGTTGGACATCCAGATCTCTAGAGACAAGGACATGGCGGTGGCTGGAAGAGGTAAAAAAAAACTTTCGTCAACGATGAAGAGATCCTGTGGTAAAGGGGGAAAAAGACCACGGTTGAGAAACCCGCTTAGCAAAGCAAGGCGCTGAGATTGCTCTTCGTGTTTATGGAGACCCAGGACAGTCAGGAAGTTAGTGAAACCTCTTTGATACAACTGCCTTCGGAGACAGAATATAGGTCCATGGTATAAGTGATATGGCTCTTCCTATAGGTAGAAACTGGGGACCCTGCCTTGCGCTGATGGATGCAGTTCGATTGGAGGCCCGCGGGACCAGGCGAGCCTCAACTGCTTTGGGCCTAAAACAGGGCGCAAAACGTGCATGGAATGGAGGGGCGGAATTTCCTCCAGCTCTCCCCCATCAGTCCCCTATTCCCACCAACTACTACATACACATGCGGTCCTCATCATGCACTCTTATCAAGATGCCCCGCCCCCACCTCGGAGAACTTGGGGACCGGGTAGCAGGTAGGCATGGCCAAAAAAATTAAGCATCGTACTTATATATATATCGCCACCTGCAAGCCGATGAGGCTCAAGCCAGGCCGTCAGCACCACCCCCAGGACTGCTTCTCGACCGACCCTTGGCCTCCCGTCTGACGTCGCACTCGTCCGGTCCTTCAATCATCACCAACCGAAATGAAGCATACGCCGCCGGGACTGGTCCGCGTAGCTGGGATGAGAAATGTCAGGGCTTGCTGAGTGCACATCACATGAGCACCTCTCATGGTGGCACCCAACACTTGAACCTGGCTTGTAGGTGGGGGCCAGTGATTCAATGGCCTGATCGCTACCACACTGGATCGACAATAATTACAGGTCGTGTGCGTCAGAGGAAGCAAGATCCGGACCTACTAGAGTGACTATCAAAAGATCTCCCTCTGAAATGTGAAACATCCAAGTTGGGCGAAGTTCCCTGCCCAAAGCGTCGAGCCCACACTTTTATCCTACGATTGTTTAAGTCAAATGAACCTCGTCTCATCCCACCAGGTCACACGTATTTGCAAATTTTCCAGAAAGCAATGACGTTTTGTGTATTAAGTATGTAAGGTATGTGTTCATGTGAATGAAGCTTCTCTAGTGTTCTCTCGTGGCGTGTCATAATGGATATACTCCTGAGTCCCTTCCCAGTCTAATTTGGTTTCCTTTCCATACCGGGGCAAAAATATATGCCGTAACTCCCAAAACACCCAAGAAAAACCGCCCATGGTTCGATCATTGCGTCGAATACCGAAGGAAATGAGAGACAAAAGGTTGAGTGTTGTTGTGGTTTGCTCATATAATCAAGTGGCGGCGAACTGTTTGTCAAAGTTCGTTAGCACTATTTGGGCTTGCTTATATGATACGGAGCTTCCTACCAGGTTGAATGTTGCCGCCATCTTCATCTGAAATGCATTGCTCTCAATGTGGGAGAGGGAAGCAAGAGGGTAGGGCCTCTATTTAGGTGGGGGCTTGGGCGAGTTGGGCTTGATGATGCCGGTGGTGTCATATGGTCCTCGAGGCATGTTGTGGAAGTGTGGTAAATTGTAGGTAAAAGAAGTATAAGTGCTGCTCGATGTTGGTGTGCGTGCGTGTACTTGGCAGCAGAGTGAACAGTTCCTTATCTGTAGTAAGGTAGATGTGGGTGTCCAGAGGGTATGGATGTGGTTGATCGAAGTGGTAAGGATGGAAGGATCCTACAGGTCTGATAGAGGTGTGATAGATGCGAACTTCAAATCTGAGTGCGAGCTCCGGTGACTTTAAATCTTCCAGGGAGAAGAAGAAAAAGAAGGCGGTACCATTTTTTTTTTTTTGCTTCTTCGTCTTTGCTGCCCTGGCTTTGTGCGCGTGTCAAGTGGCTGATCCGGTCTTTGCGGTCAGCGCTCATACCCCTGGGCTTTGACTAACTAAGGAATCCCTGTGGCCATACCTCACCTTTAAGATCGACAGGGGTGTAGCTGGTTGGGATATTGCCAGTAATTAGCTATTTGGACAGACAAGTCCCATGCCAACGTCCGGGCTTGTTTTTCACATTCATGAGTGACTCTCGGTTACAGAGGACTGTTGTCTGCGGTGTGGGTTTCAGCTGACATTGTTGGGTGAGATGGAAAAAAGGAAAAAGGGCAAGGGGAAAAAGAAAAAAACAGATAACCTTGCGGTAGGGCTTGATGCTGTGCTTCTTAGTGTTCCATATGTACTACAGAGACGGATCTGACACGTTTGGATCAAATTGGGGAAAATACACTGAGTACCAAATTTCCCGGCACAAGACTTCAGGATGGAATGACTGAATGGCTGGTTGGCCAAGAAAGCGAGCGTGATACCACTGGAGGGACTAAGCGATCGGGGCGTCACACTAGACCACGGTAGACGAGCAAGGGTAGCACGAAGACGGCGAGATTCTAGAAGAAACATGAAAAAAGAATGGACGAAATGATCACGGTTGGGCTCAATGTTTCGGCAGCAGGCAGGCATAGTTTCTGACGGTGAGGCCTGCTACAGGGCAGGTGGAGCATCATCAACTAGATGACTCGTCGTCAGCAAGACAACAGGCCGTTTGACTAGAGGTGTCGGTGAGGAAACCAGCCGATACGGACATCACCAAAATGATGAGCTGTCTTGGGGAGACAAAAATAGCACACCTACTCTTGCTCCAGGTACACACCTCCGAATGTACCTGGCGAGAGAAGTACCTTTGGCTGGATATCCACCCCAAGAGACGGGTGCATCGTGTGCCGTCGGCGACTCTTCGCTTGTCTCCGGCTTGTCCGCCGCGCAGGAATAGACAAGCAAGGCCCATGACGAGACCATGCATGTACATTGCCGCCAGGTCTCGTGGGAGAGCCGTCAAAACGCTAGCATTGTGTCAACACGTGTGCAGCGCAGCGCAGGTACCAGCAGGGAGGTGACAGAAAGAAACCCCTGGATTCACCGTAATTTACCTTCCTTCACCTCGCTGCCTGTCCCGAAACAGCGTCCCCTTCCCCCGGGGCATTTCCCAAGATGCTATAGGTAGATCGTAGGGGTAGCCTGGAAACGCGACTATAGGGCCCAATCGACCCAGTTCCATGTCCGTGGAGCCCGCATTGGCTGGGGCAGACGGGCCAGAAGAAAAAGAAAGGAAAGGAAAAAAACCATTAGTCTCCCGCCTAAGGTGAAGACGTACCAACGCGACGAAATCTGGCCGGGGGATCCATGGGCTGGCCGAGAAGGAGTTGGAAGCACTATTCTGTCGGGGAAGGCTCCGGATAGAGCACCAATTTCATTCTAATGACATGATTGGTGCCGGGGAAGGCAGACACACACCGAATTACTAGCAAGTCCCCCTGACGAGACTAGAAGCTCGACAAGGCTTCCTCTCCTTTCTCAGAGCCAACAATGAGATTCCTTCGCGAGCGCGGAATTGATGATGACGCCTGTACGTACTCCCCTTGCCCATCCACCCTCGGGGTCTGGCCACTGACTAATTGCTCCGTTGCACATCCATACGTCAATGGCGACTTTTGAAATTGATCGCCAACCGACCCTATCGCATCATGGCCATGGCTGCTTCCTTCCGAAACACAGCGCAGCATTAACCGCCGCCCACGCGTATTCGTGCCGGCTTCTTGCATGCCCGTATTCGCTGCGAGTCCGGCCTTGTGTCTGCGTGACAGCCGTCTCCCACTGCGACGGATATGTAGCACCATCTAAGTACGACCTCACCTTACTTCGCTCCTTGTCCTTGGTCTGGACTGGCACGCGGTGGGGCCGTAACTAGGCCTTTGGTCCGTCAGTTCGGTTCCGTGGACCGGGGAGGGCGGGCCGTTCCCATCTCAGCTTGGAACAGTGGGTTTTGAGTTGAAGCCGTCCATTGAAACGGCATCTCCCCATGCCCTGCTGCTTGGTCCACGGCAAATTGGACGCTACTTTGCCATTGTATCCTCCTATCTCCTTGAGCGCGCCCCATCTGGACGCTTGGAAGGGCCAGAACTTAGCCCCCAGGCTGACCGAACTCGGGTCTAACTGACCTTCCCAGCTGTCCCCGTGATATGCAAATAAATTTACATGGGCGCATACGCATGGCTTGACAGGCACTTCTCCTGTGGGAACCTTCTGCTATTCGCTAATCTCGCTCGCCAATCCCTGAAGCTAAGAATTTAGAGCAAGGCGCACGTCCTTCTCACATCAAACACGGACGATACTCACCGCTCATGCTGTGTTGGTACTCTGTTACAGAAAACCTGAATCACTCAAGATGAGTGCCGGCAGCATGGGTACTTGTGTCGAGCACAGCTAGCTTCAATTGCAAGGAGTTGTTGAGGTAGGTAGTGAGGTAGTAGACTGTGACCCCAAAAATTCCAACTTGCGAAGAAAGATCAATCATAGAACACCTATATTAGTTATCAATATCATTTCTTGAGTATATTCATCCTCTCAGTTGTGATATTCACACACATATCCCCATCATCGATACAATCAATGAGCTGTAGACGCGGCACATGGTTGATAGTTAGATAGCATATTTATTCCATGCAACCTTCAGACTTTTTACCATTTTATCAAAGCCTTGCATGGATACCTAGTCAGCTAATGTCCAATTCACACCTCATCAGTGACGTAGAAATTTGAAATTCCACCCGCTTAGGTAAGAAGAAGCTACCCTAAACTTGCAACTTCCCCACCTGGAAGGTTCCCCAGAGCCTCAAATTTTTATTCTCTTGCTCTGGCAAAGTAAAGATCTCTCAAGAAGAATCATTGTTAATATGCATTTCCAACCCATTGAGAACCTGGGCGACGATGCCTACGTTTCTGGCGAAGGTGGCGCCTTCATCGCAACCTCGAATGTGAACGACAGCCTTGATGACATCTTTGGCGGGGATGATCTCCAACCTGCTGAAGATTACCACCCTTCGGATATGAGGAGGCTGGAGACGGAGCACACTACGGCAGGGTACCGTGAAGGGATAGCGCTCGGCAAAGAAGCGACCCTGCAGCAAGGTTTCGACGAGGGTTATTCCGTGGGCGCCGCCCTGGGACTGCAGGCTGGACAGCTGCTTGGCCTCCTAGAGGGAATTGCCGAAGCGGCAAAGGCAAATGCGGACAATCTCACGGCAGAGATAGAGACACTATTAAATGAAGGCAGGATTGAGTTGAGCGTTGAGAAGATTTTTAGCTCCGATCATTGGAAGCCCAACGGGGAACGCAACTACACGATCTCTCCCTCGGACTCTACCGCCCACCAGGTAGCGCAGGCTCACCCGGTCATTCGCAAATGGATTGGTATCGTGGACGAACAGGTCCGTATCTGGGGAGTTGATAAGTCTCTTCTGGATCATCTCAACCCAGAACCAGCGCAACAAACCTACGAGGAGCTTCCCGCCCACGGAGATGAACCAGCAAGGGATCTTTTGGATTGGTGAAGCAACTGAACCACAGTGGCTGGAAATTACGACCTGCCTCGATCAGGCCCCAACCTTCCCCAGGGAACTGCCACGAGGCCTGGGAAGGGCAGTCCCATGTGCCGCTTCGGGAGCGAGCTTGCAAGAGAAAGATGTCCCGCCTCGAAGAAGGGTTGGGAGAACAACACGGCTTCACACCATCGAGCCAGGCCGTCGTTCTTTTTCGCTCCCTATTACTTAGGTTTTGAGGTTGGATCTCTTGGTAGCCTACCCTCACCCATCACCATGTTCTTGGAGGGCTCGAGAAATCCACTTAGCGCACTGCAGATGCCGCTCGCTTCCGGGCAACCACAACTGCAATGACAGCAAGCATAACAAGAAGCTACTCGCTTTCACCTCTTGCACATCTAAGAAGGAAGACATCCTGGCCGGATTTCGAGACAATTCCGTAATTTGTGAACTCACCGGCTGACGCAAGGGCCAACGATGGTTGCCAAAGTGCGTCGTCATCGGATAAGAGTTGCGACAGACCTTCATAGGAAAAAATGGACACGTTTGAAACATTTTTCATTGCTCTGAAGTGATTGTGTTTGGACGTTGGAGGGAAAAGGAAAACAGAAGAAAAAAGAAAAAAAGAAAAGGCTAGCAACAGCCATTTGAAAGAGAGCGGAGTCGGCTATGGGGTCTGAGACAAGCATGAGTGGCCTCCCTCCAGACTCTCCTTGCGTCAACTGATTGAGAAGACATCCGTATACGTTAGTACAATTAGCTCTTTGTGGGTCAGACCACAATTCAAACAACTGCAACAGTCCCAAGTGGTGAAGTAAAACATGGCACACCAAAGCTTTTTTCGCGTAAGGCAGGAACCTCGTTTTTTACTAAATACAATAAGAGAATACTAAATTATTATACGATACTTAGCTTGATATGGTATTTATTATTAGATTAATTATTCTGATATTGTATTGGAATCCAACCCTGAAATGTTTAGATGTGCCATGTTTTATGTCAGTCGCTTGAGTCCCAGCCAGCGACAGCAGATAACTTTGGAAACAGGGGCGCAGGCCGAGACGAACCCCCTCCTTTGCCGGCCTTGCAGTGTCTTGTTCTCATTTTACTCCGTCACAAACAATGCGAGGACGAGAGTGTTGACACGAGGAAGGGGAAGATGACATGGTAGCAGTGATGGTGCATCGGATAGTTCGAATGAATGATTTAAGAGGCAGCCATGGCCCATGGCCAAATGGTGCCATGACAAGCCAGCGCAGGAGCTTTCTCATTTTACCCTCACTCGTTTCAGCAGCCAACTTTTTGTCACTCCTTTATTGAAATTTGCTGCCTAGTAGCCATCTAAATATGAAGTTCTCAACGCTTGTTCTTGGCCTTCTTGCCACTTCCGCCAGCGCCCTTCTCAACCAAGGCGTAGATATTCTCCAGGGCGTTGCGGGTGATGCGAACGCACCGGGGCCTCGCCACGAGCCCTGCGCAGAGTCTGTTGGCAAATGGCATCCCCCGCACGACACCAAGACCGATGGTTGTGGTGATTTCGGAAGCGGCGAATGGCATTGGGTCCCTCCAGTACGCACCACCACAGTCATGGTCCCCCACGTCAAGACGATTGTCGATTGCTCGGGCCCTCATACGACGGGAATCCAGACTCCGGAGGCCAGCCATATTGCCTCTACCACAGAGGTTCACCAAATTCCTGCTCGCATCACACTTTCCTCCGTCCACCTTGGGTGGAAGGGATCGCATGGCGCTTCGCCAACGGTTGCGACCTATGCGGGATCACCGGTCCCTACAGCCGTCAACAGCTCCGCTATACATCCTCCTCATACTCCGGCCACCACATTCCAGCGTACTCAAAATGGCTATAATGCCACCACAGCGGCGCCCGCAATCCCAACTATGAGCAAGGCTCCGCAAGAAACCTCTGGCGGAATCTCGAGCACGTACAACATCGGCATCTTTGCTCTTGTTGGATTTGCCGCCTTGTTGGTCTTGTAAGCCCTAGGGCGACGGTACCTAACCCCCTTTGAGTGGTTGAACGTGTTATGAAATGACATGAGATGCATTTGTTTTCTTCTTGTAACCAATTTCTCAATTGCATATTTCATAAGAATTTCATGTACATTATTCATGCAACTGGTTCATGGGCATCAATCTAGTGACTTTAGCTTGTCTGTTAGTTAAATATTGAAAATGAACCTGCTGAAAAAGTTTATCAACTTACCTTTGATAGAGTGCTCATGTTTGGACAATTATATTGCAGGGTAGGGCGTGGTTCAACCATGGAATTGTTGCCCTTGCATAGAGGGAACTTCAAACGCTCTTGGCGCACGGATTTATCCTTGACGCATTGTAATCTCTTTCCTTAGCTTGTAGATGATTGCCTTAGCTTTTCCACCACTTCTTCAATGCGCTGTGGCCTGTCGAAAAGGCTTTTCGTTGTCTCCCAGTCGCGCCCATCCACACCAAAGACAGAAAGTTTGGTGACCTTTCCATCATCGTCCATAACGAGACGACCGTTACGTTCGTCCGCCCATGTGAGCTTGATCTGCTTCGCTTCGATATCAGCAATTCCAACTTCGACAATGTTGGTGGGCCCAGTGTCTCCCTCGGTGATTTGATGTAATCCCAGTGCTCTCCTTAGATCGGCGGATATACCGAGCCGGTTATGGTATCGCATTATTTCGCGCCTGAGTGTCCTAACAAATTGATCCAAGTCCTGCGAAGGGGGTGTTTCGTCCTCGGGCTTTGGGGGAGGCAGATGACGGGCAGCCAGCCCAGCAAGCGGTATCGCGCTGGGTAGCGTGTGACGGTGGACACGTAGGGCCGAGGACTTCGAATAGGGACGGTTCAGCATAACGTAGTATGGCTTGAGAAATTGACTGCGAGACATGACCTCGAATCGTAGCCCCAGAACATGACCTCCATCGACGGCGTTGGGATCCGGGTCGTGGACTTTGAAGGCTGTGACAGGGTTGCAAATGCGATAGAGGCATTGTTGCTGGTGCGCTTCTTGTCCCTGAAGTCCCCTGAGGAGTTTCTTGTTATTTCTCGAGCGAGATCGCGACGATTCTTTGACGAGACTCTGGCTTGGAATGGAGGCTATGATGGTTGAAGCCTGAATTTTGAGTTGCTTCTTGGTCGCAGCAACTTGTGTTTGGTTAGCTGATATTCCGGGTAGTCGAGAGGAAAAAGGTTTAACAAGCCATACTCTGCTCTTCCAATTCAGCGATTTCGTCTCCAAGGACATCGAGTTCTGCTTCGTTGGTTTCCGAAGCCATCTTCAGTACCGACTTTACAGTGCTATGCTATCACTTCGGACCTACCCCAGAATCAGACGCGTCGAGGTTAACCAAAAGCGCGTGCCCCATCAATCCTGAGCATTAGTCATCAGGGTTGCATTGCATCTTGACTGGATTCGGCATGTGGTTCACAACCCGATCTGGAAGGTTCCTCTGCAAGTACCAACTGAAGCAGTTGGTGGCCATTTTGACTAGAAAATGAATGGAAAATATCGAGATTTGACTGGGTGTTCATTGCTCTTATGTATCCGACGCTGAGGAAAACTACGGGGTCGAGCCTCCAGTATGCTACACGACCTTCTCCAACGATAGTCGTTGGCTACACTAATCTCATGAGTCATGCAGTCTGGTGCCTGGCAGGTTCCACCCGCTAAGCCTGGGCTGGCTCTCTGTCCAACGTATTGTGGGAGGTGGGGCTCCTTTCTTGCAGGTAAAATTCCCATCTGTGCTCTGCGCTCCCGTATCCCTGATCCCTTTCATAGCCTATCGTTCTGTGCCAGGTTGTTGCAGCTGCGGTAGAGGTCAGGCAAATCTGAACCCGCCTTTGTCCAGAATCCCGATTCGGCTCTTTGTGCATACGGCTCCTCAGATCTGGCTTCTCCTAGCGTCCTTTCCTTTCCAGCCGGGTGTTGTTGGCCATTGGGGAGAACCCACCTGTTCCTTTCATTGAGGCCACGGTAGCTTCGCCTTACAAAGCGAAACTTTTCCCTACCGTTTGCCACCATTATCCTATCAACTGTCCGACAGCCACTCGCTTGATATTTTCATCTATCTTCTTCTTTCTGGACTGTTTATTCTCACTATTACCGATATTTATTTCAATATCTTGCGACCTTTCATGACATACACATCATTACCTGATCTAGAGCGCATCTATTTGCCGAAACACTTGTCGCGAACTCTCCCGCATTCCGGACGACACATACGTACACAGTGACGAGCGCACTGGTGTTTTATATTCAATATTCATCTCGCTCCCCGACGGAAGCCTTCCTGAACTACTCTTGAACGTGGAGTCACCCTTGTCTCCTATATCTCCGGCAGCTGCGATTCATCCCCAACGACCGATACAATACCTACCTCATGGGGACCAGAGTAAGACGCGTGAAATCCTCCAAATTCAAGCGCGCATCGTCTTCGCCTCCCGAAACTGAGCATGCGAATGGGAAAATGAGCAACGGCGTGGAACTCCGGCGCAAAGGCGTACCGTCCGACGTGGACACCACTGCAGCCAACTTCGTAACTCGAGAGAACTTCTCCCTCGATGATGAACCCCCCAAGTCGAGCGCAGGCATTGCCAACCATGGGTTTTTCGACCTCCCCAGACAGGATCAGCGCAACTTTTTGCTGTTGGTGCTGTTATACTTCTTGCAAGGAATTCCGATGGGTCTTGCCATGGGCTCGGTGCCCTTCCTTCTCAAGAATCATCTGTCATATGGAGAAATTGGTATATTCAGTTTGGCTTCATATCCGTACTCCCTTAAGCTCCTCTGGAGTCCGTTTGTAGATGCGGTATGGAGCCCTACGTTTGGTCGGCGCAAGACCTGGATTGTGCCGATCCAGTTTCTCTCCGGCTTCGGAATGCTCTGGTTGGGCTCACACGTGGAGAGAATGCTGGAGACGATGGGAAAGGCGGATGGAATAACTGTTTGGCATTTCATGCTGTGGTGGTTTTTCTTGGTGCTCATGTGCGCCACGCAAGATATTGCTGTGGATGGATGGGCTCTCACGCTTCTGAGTCCCGCCAATGTCTCCTACGCTTCGACAGCGCAGACAGTGGGCCTTACCGCTGGGCACTTCCTATCGTATACTGTGTTCTTGGCTCTAAACGCACCCGATTTCGCCAATAAGTGGTTTCGTTCTGTACCCTCAGACGATGGACTTGTTTCACTGGGTGGCTATCTCAAGTTCTGGGGCTGGGCGTATATTATCATGACGATTGGGCTCGGCCTGATCAAGCGGGAAGAGAAATCCCAAAATGAGGACGGAGTTTGGGAGGTCTACCGGATCATGTGGGGTATCCTCAAGCTCAGAAACGTTCAGGCGATTATCATCGTGCATCTCATTGCCAAAATCGGTTTCCAAGCCAATGATGGTGTGACGAATCTTAAACTTTTGGATAAAGGTTTTGGGAAGGAAAACATGGCGCTGACGGTTCTTATCGACTTTCCCTTTGAGATTGGAGTTGGGTACTATGCTGGTCTTTGGTCGCAAAAGTACACTCCGATGCGACTCTGGTGTTGGGGATTCATGGGACGCCTGGGAGCTGCCATCTTGGCCCAGTTTACCGTATTCATCTACCCTTCGGGAGGCGTCACTTCGTGGTATATGTTGTTGGTCATCTTCTCTCATGTCTACTCAACATTTACCAACACTATCATGTTTGTGGCCGTGTCAGCTTTCCACGCCCGAGTTTCTGATCCTGTCATCGGAGGCACATACATGACGCTCTTGGCTACGTAAGTCTATCTATATTTTCATCACCCGTTCTGTTTCGGTTACTAACATTGACTGTGATAGTGTTTGCAACCTGGGAGGCACATTCCCTAGGTATTTTGTCCTGAAGCTCGTTGACGCTTTCACCGTCGCTACATGCACCCCACCAAGCGCCGGGGCTGATACCTCTGCTCTCAAAGGGCCATTGGTAACAGCTGCATTCTCATGTGCTGTTCAGTCCGAGAAGGAGAGGTGTGAGAATGGAGGAGGCATTTGCGAAATGCAGCGGGACGGCTACAACTCCGTCAATCTGCTCTGCGTTGCGTTTGGCTTGGCCACGTTCGTGTGGTACATCAAGCCAAAGGTTACACACCTCCAAAGCCTTCCGCTCAGGGCATGGAGACTCACGGCAGGTAACGGAAAGGTAACGGAAAGTAGATAATGAGGAGTATGCATGTAGATGATATAGTAGAGTACAATCATGTATAAATACAAGGAGCATATTACTGATATAAAGAAGCTATTTATGTAAGCCGATGTAGCCAATGTCCCCGCCGAGACGAGGAGTGTTATTATGTATATCCCTGTTTGTAGGGACAAACGCCGTCATCATGCTGTCGAGCCCATCCAGTGAGCCCACCTATGGTCATGGTCATGGGTAATGCAGCTTGTGCACGGCGGCTGCAGGGCCACATGCCCCACCTGTCCCGGAGTTGAAGGGTCTTTTCCAGATGCCGACCCCGGCCAGGCCGTATCCAGTCGTGCATATTCGCTGCTGCCAAAGATGCATGATCGTGATGCGGTCTGCGAGAATGATTGCCACTGTCCCTCTGAGAGGTCTGGAGGTGGTCCTGGGCTGCCAATTGCGTTGGCCCGAGTGGCGTGGGGGGGAGGGTACGTTCATTAGCTCCCGGCACATGATGCTCCCACCTTGGCACTAATTGTTGCCACACCACATCGCATCGCAGTACCTCCGCTCCATGCCGTCTGTGAGCATCTTGGGCCGGGCCGTGGTGGTGGTGAGGCTCTTTCCTTTCGCCCTAGGTGCTCTGTCTGCCTCTGTCCCCTGCTGTCCCTTGCCTTGTGCATTCGAGGCCATTATCCACTCGCCTGTAGAGGGGCAATTGACAGGATCTGCATGGTCTGGTCATTCTCCGCTCGTGAGCGACCCTCCGGGATGGATGCTGCTTCGTAGTTGTGAGCACAGAAAAAAAGAGTAAAAGGCCATGCCCCGACCCGCCGTGAAGCAAAATAACTCAGCCTGGTTTTGTTTCATTTTCCTTCACATCCACTGTCACCCGTTCCAAAGCATCCCGTCCCAGCTCACAACCCATTGGCGTGGCCTGGATTGAACTGAGCCCGCACCGTCCTCACCTTTTGAGGCGGCACTGAATATCACCTCGGCCCTCCTCCACCATGTCGGCCCAAGACCAGGAGGATGTCTACTTCTCCACAAACCCACCCCCGCGACATCTAGAGGCCCATGCCGCCCAGGCCCGCGCCTTCATCGACGCCCACGCCGCCGCCGGCCGCCGCGTCGTCCTCGTCACATCCGGCGGGACCACCGTGCCGCTGGAGAAGCAGACGGTGCGCTTCATCGACAACTTCAGCGCGGGAACCCGCGGCGCGACCAGCGCCGAGTACTTCCTCGAGGCCGGGTACGCCGTCATCTTCCTCCACCGCGAGTTCAGCCTCACACCCTACGCCCGCCACTTCTCCCACGCCACCACGGGGGGGTTCCTCGACTTCCTCGAGGTCGGCCAGGGAGGCGTGAGCGCCCGCCCAGACGTATCGGCCAAGATGGCCGACATCCTGAGCCGCTACCACACCGCACGCAAGGAGAACCTCCTCCTCAGCATCCCCTTTGTGACCATTGGCGACTACCTGCACGAGCTGCGGGCCATCTCCCGCCTCATGGCCTCCCTCGGCCCCCGTGGCCTGCTGTACCTGGCCGCGGCAGTGTCTGACTTCTTCGTGCCCCCGGAGCGCATGGCCGAGCACAAGATCCAGTCTACGGATCTGGGGAGGCGGGCGCAGGAGGCAGCAGCCGCGGCGGCCGGTCAAGTTCCTAGCAGCGCAGACAGCGGGAAGCAGGACTCGGAGGAGGAGGAGTTCGACAACTTCGACTCCAGCCCCCGGGTGCCGCGGTCGAAGCGGCTCGTCATCGACCTCGACCCCGTGCCCAAGCTGCTCCTCAACCTCGTCGACGGGTGGGCGCCCCGCGGCATGGTCTCCTCCTTTAAGCTCGAGACGGACCCGACCATCCTCGTGACCAAGGCGCGGTACTCGCTCGAGCGCTACCAGCACCACCTCGTCATCGGGAACCTGCTGGCCACGCGCAAGTGGGAGGTCGTCTTCGTCAGCCCCGGGCGCGAGGACAACTGGCTCCGGGTGAAGCGCAGGGGCAAGGAGTGGACCGACGAGGACGTCAAGAGGCTGAGGCAGGGCGAGGTCCCCAAGGAGGAGCCCGGGGAGGAGATTGAGCGTTTCATCATCCCCGCGGTAAAGGACCTCCACGACCAGCATATTAAAGCGAATGAATAGACCACACACTGGCTTCATTATTGGAAAAAAATGCGTACGAGCAAAATTTGAAAGTTCGTTATTTGATGCTATAGAAATCTAACTGCTACGGACAACATAAGGGTTCAAAATTAGGTTGTCCTGTTGGATCATTTTGATGTCTACGGATAAAAAAAATAGAAAGCCCATATCGATTTTTAAACTCCAACGCATATATGTGCCAAACAACCGAAACTTACCACTACGTAGTGGGGGAATCGTGCAATGCAAGTATATAGATAGATAATCATTTCTCTAGTAGGCGAATAAAAGGGGTAGGGATAGGGGGTGCAATCGCTTAATAAATCGCCAGCCATTTGCTCCAGCCTAAACTCGTACCTTTCGCAGCCAGCAGAGAGATAAACGATGCAATATAAATTGCACTGGTGCAGATGATGAGTCCATGGTAAGATCCGCCGTTGGCTTGAATGATATTTCCGCCGATGGGAATGCCAATCAAGCAGGCAAAAGATACAATGGTGTATGCAGTCGCGTAATATCGCCCGTACTCTTGCGTCTTGCACAGTCGGCCGATACACACGGGAGCGATGGCGATGCTGGTTCCCGAACCGAAGCCAAAGAGAACAGAGAAGATGATGATGCCGGCAGTGGTGTGGCCGGAGGGAAGCCATACACACAGGCAGGACACGAAACTCAAGACAACAGAGAACATGCAGGTGTTGAAGGCACCTACCGCATCAGAGTAGTACCCGGGAAGAATTCTCCCAAAGAAGGACCCCGCATTCATGATGGGCAATAATTGGTATGCAAATTCTTGGCTGAAACCTTCGTGAACGGCATAAGTCGAGATGTAGGATAGCGGAATGAAGAGAGAAAACTCTAGAAGGAAAATGCCAATGGTAGTGAGGAGAAATGGAATGTTCCGGAAGATACGGAAATCGGGCCATGCGCTCGCGTTCTTTGCGGGCGGGAGACGGCTGCGGACGAGAACGATGCCAACCAAGCAACAGACAAGGCAGATGAGACTCAGAACACGAACCGTCCAGCCGTAGCCGATTTTCTCAAAGAGCGACGTCTGCATTAAAGGGAAGACAATACCGCCAATACCTCCGCCTGTCGATGCAATACCGGTTGCGAACCCGCGCCTCGCCTTGAACCAGTGGCCCACAGAGGCAATGCCCGGTGTGAAAAGCAGCGAGGTTCCAATCCCGGCTACCACACCGAAGGAGAGAATGAAATGCCAAAGTTCTAGGAATAGCTGATTAATACACTGATTTCAAATATTTCAACTGTCAGAGGTGATGGACTTACCCGTAGACCAGCTCATAGTGAGAACACCTATCACGGTGAGAACTGAGCCAGCAACCACGAGCCATCGAGGGCCATATTTGTCGAAAACGGGGCCGATGAAAACGCCGCAGAAGAATGCCAGAAAGGTGTATATAGAGAAAATCCACCCAACTGTCCCTTCATTGTAGTCTTTGAGTTGATGAGTGAGGACGTAAGCTTGAAAGAGTGCGATGGTGTTCATCAGGCCGAGCGACGATAGCAGAGAGAACCATGAGCCAATCACGACCAGCCATGCTTGGAGTCCTCCTTCTGGATACGTCTCTTGGTAGGAGGCCGTGGATACTGCGGTGGCTTGCTTTTCCAGACCATTGTCTTTTCCGTCGTAGTCGTATTGTTGTGTGAAATCGTCGGCTGGAGTTACTTCGTCCGGGCCATCATGCACGGCATTCGATGTAACCTGGTGAACGTCCATAATTTTATTCTGGGCGAGCCCCTATCAGGATATGGTATTGTTTCAGATGTAATTCACATTCGTTAGAGACATCTACTTGCATGAATAGCTCGAGATGTGGTGCGTGTGGCGGTCTCTGTCTCAAACGACCACGCCGGAGGATATGATCAAGCTTAAAAACTGATCGTGGGGAGCTCGCTCCGCTTTTCGGAGTGGGGATCCGAGAGCGCACTTCCGTGAAAACGGCAAGCCTTCGCGGGATCCTACTCCATCCTAGGCAAAATAGAGCGTAATGGAAACGTGTGATTCGCTGACTGCTGTCTTCGAGGGCGAAGTTTGCTTGAGCCGAAGCCGAGATATGGGGAACTAAGATCGGGTCGCCATCCACCTCCCCAATAGCTCAATTTTTCCATCTTCTCACGCAATGGCTGCCCCGCCAAGTTGCAAGAAGCCGAGGCCGAGCCAATTGGGTCGCCAGATTCGACATGTTGCAGACGGTATGATGCTTGAAGGTAAGCCCATTACTATTCTCGCCAAACTCTGTCGCCGCACCTTATTCGTCGCTTCAACTAGGGAAACACCAAGCGCAAGCCGTGATTCGGTTTCGACGTCATATCTTCCATTTGGTTATCCTTCAGTTGGGTTCGCTATTAGTAAAAGTGACTCCGTTCAAGCTTCCTCGTCCTCAACTTCCTCCATCGTAACCGTTAGAGGACGGGGCGGTGTGTCAGCTTCCCCGGAAACCGGACCGCTAGTTTGATCGGACTTTAGCTTGAGATATCCTTCCCTTTCTAACCTATCAGCCTCCTCGGGCTCAATGAGACCCCCTTGGCCCTTGCCCTTGTCCATTTTCATCTTGACCGCTGTAGGAACAAATGCAGCGACGGCCTCTTTTCGGAGATCGCGACTGACGGGTGCTGCCGAGTAAACTGTCTTGGACTCCACGGCTGGCGTTTCTTGCTTCGATGCTGACTCGTTGTTCTCCTTTTGTTTCTCGGGATTTTCTGCATTTCTACGCGCCCGTCGCTTCGCATACCATTCGTCTAGAACTTCTTTCGGAATAGGCGGGGGCGTGTCCCGTGGCATGGGAATTCTCTGGACATCTTCAGGAACGTCCTCGTCACTGCTCGATGCGTCTTGATCACCTCGCCTCCTCTTGCCAAGCACGCCTTGCCCAGAATCTCCTCGATCGCGGTTCCAGCCTCGTCCGAATGTAGGCGCTCTGTCCCCAAGGCTCTCTCGGGCCTTTTTTACTGCTTTCAAATCTCTTTCCAAGCCCTCCAGCACCTGCTCTTCGTGTTTAGTGAGCTTCCCACCGCTTGTCGCAACCGCTTTGAGATCGTCAATCTGTTTTTGTATTCGGTTCGGGTTCTTTTGCGCGAGTTTCTCGTTTTTCCGGCTCTGGACATCTGCCTTGCCTTGAGAAGAGGCATTAGGAATGGCTTCATTACATTGGGTGTGAAGAGAATGGTGGTGGCCAACCTTTTTTGATAGCTCGAGCCTTCTCGGCCTTGCGTTGAGCCTGAACGGGGTTGTAATTCCGTTCCCCGGCCATATTTGTTCAGTCGATCCTTTTTAAGTAAGTCTTCAAGGTTGTCGTGGTGTGATAATGACCGTCAAGAACTTGACGCAAGGTGTTGAGTTGGTGATGCAATAGCCATGGAGACCAAAAGTCTAGAAGCAGACCAAAACCCCGCTGACTAAGCACAACAACATCCTTTCGCAACTTCCTCCCTGACACTCATTGTTTTGCTTTTAATAACTACCTACCCGAATTTATGATCTGCTAAACCCTGTTTCATGATAGATCTAGAAGCTGATTGCTTTATTTAACCGCTCTTCTAACACCTGGCTACACCTGACGCTTCAATGAATAGGAAACTCGGCGCAAATGCCTCCTTTAACTCGAATTGCAGGATCCAACTCGATTCTGTTTAATAGTAGCTGACTGAAGCTCCTCATTGTCAGTAAAAAAAATCGTGTTAATCATTTTCTAGTCCAATCAGATATTTGCATCCTAAACCAAATCTGTTCCTCTGATTCAGCAGATCAAGGAGGATTGGCACCATCTATTCAACCGCAACTTCTCATGATGTTATCTTGTGTAAAAATGACGACAATTCTTTTCATACAATAGGGAAAAACACCCGCATCGCTTAATTTTATATTGCGGGACTGTCGCTTTTGTTTGGACAATTCCGATCCCCCATCATCGACATGAATAAGCAGGAGAGAAGTCTGACGGGAGTAGAGTTGTGACAGGTATCCTGCTTCGACCATCGTGCTTCAGTATTCGCAAATCAGCGGAGAATGGAATCTACAGGCAAATACCTAACCGTTGAGATCCCTGGTCGAACCAGGACGAGATGTTTTCCTCGAATAAGATGGAGTTCAAAGGAGGCTTCATGCCCATGCCAGCTGTCTCATGTCTGATATGAATCACATGTGTCGCACCTTTCTTGGTGGCCAAAAAAAGCGGTCACACGTCAAAAGTTCCTCTAGCCCCTTCGTCTCTTTTTTCTTTTTATTTCCATTGCTTTTTCTTCTACTTTATCGTGCTATTGGACCTTTGCTTTATATATATATATATATAAAAGGTCGGAATGATGGAGCAAGGCACTGGTATAAAGCACGAACAGCTGTTGGCTTGTGAAGACGAAACGAGATCCCGCATGGCTGCAGAATTTAATCCGCATATGCCTTTGGCCTGGCTCAAGTCCCAGCTTTCTCCCACGTCACTGTTGTTGGCCAGCAGTGACACGCGCCTTGGCGTGTTAGCCGACATGCCACGGGACAGAACAAAATGTCCTCAATGCAACGAAGCCCACCCAGCTTGGGTCCCAGACTGCCCCAACACGGGCACACAGGCTATGTTCAAGAATTCAAGGATTGCAAAGATATCGTTGCCCCAAGATGGGTAATGATCAATGTGTGGTTACAGCTATTAGCTGTAGGTGAGCGGGTTCCAACTGTAATGTAACTACATAGTTACATTGCCTAGATGACGTGTAGCTACCTGCCGTAAACCGCAGCCGTAGCCGGAGCCCTGTCCACCTGACCCTAAGCGGGGCTTTAGCCGGCTGGGCTACTTAAGCCCGACCAGCTGGCCTACCTAGCTGTAGGCTGCCTTTGAAGTTAACAACCAAGTTATCATCAGTTATTGCAGAGCCTAATCAGCCCAGTTACCTTCCAACGCAACGGGCTATACGATAGTATGAAGATGAAGAGGTCTAAGAAACTGAAATTCAAGGCGAAGATTGAGAAAGTAGTTGCGAATTCTAACCGGGAAATATAGGAAGCAACAACAAGCTTACAATCGACCGAGCCAAGCTCTAGGACTCGGACCCGGACCTCTGGTACTACTGACCATACGATATAAATACAGATATGAGTTCGCCCGAGCGTGCTAGCTCTATTGCTTCCAGAGCCTCTATACCACCCTCCAGCCTTCCCAAGATGCGTCCAATTTTCGATCTGAAGACAAAGCCTCAAGTTCTGCAGCATCTGATACAGAGCTTTCAGATACTGTAGAACTTGAGGCTTTGTCTTCAGATCGAAAACTGGATGCGTTTTAGGAATGCCGGAGGGCGGCATAGAGGTAGGCGTAAAGGCTCTGGAAGCAATAGAGCTATCATAAGCCCTTGGTATTATGGCGATTAAGACGTATGGGATCCTCAGTCGATCCAACCCCGAGGATTATTGAGCTTCCTATCATCCTGCTTCGTTATCTGCTAACTCACTCGGCGTTTTTTCCTGGCTGCTGAACTAGTTGGCTTGGGAAGCTACTCTTCGGCAGGTGCATAGATGTGTCTCGGCGGGATATGGACCTCATAGTGGTACCGAAAGGACATGTGTTGTGGGTGACGAATTGGTTGATTAGGTCATGGCCGAGGTAAAGCTTCAAGCCCATAATATACCTACGATGGAGCAGTTGATTATTGTATGATGTGACAGAGGAAGGTGTCGGGTCCCTCTTTATTTTCTTTTTATTCACTTGAGGGACTTACCAAACAGAAGATGGAAGATGACAAATGCGGTGACTACCTCTTAAGGAAGACCTACATGTCAATGGTGGAGCAGGGTTGCACTGCTTCATGATACTATGGACAGTTGCTTCTAGGCGGACCTGCACAGGCAAGTGGGTGACATGAGAAATGAGACACTCGAACATTAAGCTGCTTATTCTCGAGTCTGTGGCCGGTATTATCAGATTATTGACTACTAGTAATACAAACTTCACAGATAATATGGTATATTATTACTATATCTCATTTTATACTGCTGTATTTCTCGATTCAAATTAGAAGAGGGTCTTTTTTTTTAACAACTCTTCCATTTGGTGTCGCATTTCCCATGTCACCCACTTGACAGGGAACTGACCAAACCAATCATTTAATCAATGGATGAAGAAGCCTGTTTGGTGGAATTTACCGGCTATAATGCCTGGACATATTGTCTCTTTTCAAACCTTTAGGCGGCGAATCCACGAACAGAGATAGTTCTCAATTCTTGTCGATCCTCGATGTGCATGGTCTCTCGGGATCTCTCGCACAGCGGCGCATTTATTCGGATTTTCTGCTACTTTTCGTGTCGAGCGTCAATTGGTTCGTTCAGGTCACGTTACCAAGGTCTCTCTATGTGCTGCGTGTTGCCAGGCCAAGTGGGTGCTTTGGTTCCTCTGAACCTCGATGATTCGCATGAAGAAAGAAGACGGCCTGCATACCGCAACGTCATGCCCTATATATGCTTGGCATTTATTCGTCTTGGCATATAGCCGCGAGCGTCTAATCAAAGCAAGGGATTGGCTAGAATTCGCTCTCAAGCTGAGTTCCTCCCCTTCGATTCCACCTGTATGCATAATGACCTGTCCATCTGGTAATAAGTGGAGTGCTTCCTGCACTTTGCTTCTGATAGCCAGCTGGCAAGATGGGAACTTTTTTCTCTCTGTGCTTGCAGATTTCTGTCGCTGGAACGATTCTTTATTGCCTCAGAGCGGGACGGTAAAAATCTGCCGTCTGTAT